CTAGCAACTCGACGCCATGTTCGAACGAGACTGAACTCGAATTTGCCTCGAGTAAGCAGTGCACAGCTTAGTTGTGGCACGCGTGCTACGCCTACTTGCTACTTCCATTGTATTCTATATTCCGTGGTACAAAGGGTACGACAATCCGTGTGCGACAGCCGGCCGTCTGTTCCACGATTTACGAACCTCTGTTGTGAGATCAGGGGGTTGTCTATTATTTGCTCGAAGATTATATGCCATAATCATCATTTTCCCGAATTTCATTTGCCCGAATCAAAGAGTACCTATAATAAGAATAGGGCCCGAATGTTTCATTTGCCCTATAATACATATGACATACTTTTAATTGCCCAAATTTTAGATACCATAAGATCCAAATGCCATACGTATTGTTTGCCTTATTTTTATGTGCTATAATAATTATTAGGCATCATATTTAAATGGCATTACAAGTATTTTTTTCTGTGCATGGTTGATGGTGGGCTAGGTCGACTGTCGACTACTTCTGTGTGGTTTTCTAAAAAAATAACCACGAAGGGGATGAGTGTGAGCGAGCGAAGCGAGCGAATAGACCCCGTCATTTTTTTTCCTTTTTAGTTTTTACTTTTCGTTTGTCATTAGTTTTTGAAGTCGGTCTTTTTAAACGCAGTTTTTTAATTTTATTTTATACTTTTTAGTTTAGTACTTTGATATACCAATCATCTAGGTGTAAAGTCCTCAACAATACAAATTATCAAAACCAAACACCAGATAGCTACTGTTAACCGTTGAGGAGTTCCCTCGACTGGCTCTCGGCTCCATCATATCGACTCAAGACCTTTATCAGATTATAGCGGTTTTCAATACTTAATGAAAAAATTAACAAATGCACTAGTCACCCCTATAATTTTTAAAAGTTCCCCTCGGTTTCCCTGGTCTTCCACAATCAGATCATCATTTCCATATCATGGGACCATTCTGGGACTATCTGCTTTCCAACAAAAAAAGTTTTTCCAAAATCGGTCCATAAATAACGGAGATAGGTCGAATTGAGAACCTCCTCCTTTTTTTGAAGTCTGTCGAATGTTAGGTTGCCCGCTGTGGACCTTACTCTGTAACTTTTTTTAAATCGTTGCTTAAGGTTTTCTTCTGTATGGAGGATGCGTTTACAAACATACAAGACGTTCATATACCCATAACACCCAGACCCGGAGCAACAACCCGTGGATTACACAGAGTTGTTCCATGCGGGAATCGAACCCGCGACACGTTGCGCGGCAGCCAGTTGTCCAACCGTCGCGCCAACCGTGCAGTCAAACTGTAGGGCCGATGGTCGAAATTAGCTTGAACCGCTATTCAATAAGAAAAGCTAAATGAGAAAACATTGTCAGTGTGTGTAATTTTGTAACTCAGTTACATAAAAAACGGCTGAAGTGACCGTGATGAAATTTGGAACAGAGGTTGATTATGGTCTGGATAATTGTCTCTGTTATAATTGTATTTTCGTTTATAAGCACCTATTACGCCAGACAAATAAAAACAAGGGTTATTAGAAAAGATAATATATTTAATTTTGTAAAATAAGAGCGGATTTTATATATAAATTACGCAATCTACGCCACTCAGCTAAATCAAAAAACACGTAACACAAACATTTATGGTACTATTTTATCAAATAAGATTTTGGCACCGTAACAGCCAAATATTTTAAGCAGCTAAACGCTTTGCTGTTTGGACCATTAGCATAAAGACGCAACAAGTTCGTAGTGTCCAGCATACAATAATTTACTGGAGCTCACCGCTTCAGTCTGCACATTCACAGCTCTTTCATAATAAAATACACTTATACGTAACATGTAAAAATGATGATGTACTTTATGTTATTGCTTGACATGCGATATTTTCAAACAGACAATCACGCAGTTTGTAGACAGCAGTATGATGAACTGCTTGCCAGCACTATCTGCGCATTGCCATAAAAATACATTTAATTTAAATAAATTAATAGTGTACATTAACAAATCTAAATGGAATAATTTATAGGTACATTAATATTTAAATAATAATTAATATAAGTAATTAATGCAATGAGAATCGACAACATTAATACCAAATTTTTATAATTCTCATGTGGTTAGAGACCCGCTGTGCTGTAGTTAGTAACAAAATGCAATATAGTAATATGTTGTATAGCCCGTGGTTGTATCTCGGTCTGAATAAAATCTTTAATTTACTACTTTGTCAGCTTTCCGCCAAACGCGTGGTCAAAAAACCTATAGCACTCTCGTTTCCACACACTTCCGCGTTTTAATACTATTAAGGAAGGATAATATTATCATTGGAGAATTTGTACAGGTTAGTATTTGTTTAATTAACCTATTTCATTTGCATTATAAATGTATTATACTAAGTTTGTGAGTATGTGCTCTTTAACCAATGAGTTCAGATACCTATGTAAAACTTAACGAGAATGTATTTCCTAACTACTTTGATATTTGACTACTTACACGCTACTTAGACGATGTACATAGAGTCTGCATGTGTTGTGTCACAGCACGTTACATACAAAAGCAGGACTTGTCCTCTACGTCAGATATTTTAACAAATCTTTACTCTGAAATTATTCTAACATTTGCTAAGGGTTTTGCAGCCTTTTGTAATTAACATTTATAATTGTGACATTGTCTTTGCGCTATCAACTTCGTACAGTCTATGAATCGCGTCTTACTATTATACCAACACAATATTAAAAATTCCGTTCCTATGTTATAACAATTATATCTCTGGGTACTCTGGCAAATTAACAAGACTTAAGACTACTGTCCACGACGCGTCATTTGACAAATGCGAGCATTCGTCAAACGACAATAGACGGCCTAAAAATGACAAATGCTTGCATCTTGCTCAGAAACAATGAAAACTGTCCACGATGCGACTATATTGTCGGACGCGTCGTGGACAGTTATCCTTAATGTTACTTCATGTACACAATGGTAGGACGGACAAGTGAAATTAGCTACAAAACCCTGCCATTGTGGTACAAGTAGCTTCAAGCTGTTGGCTTAGTGCGGGTGCAGGACACGTGGACTGCATGTGCAAATTCGGCAACATTGAGAATATTAGGTATATTCTCTTCAAGCTACTGCGTACATACTAAACTCTACATTGAGAAAACGTCCCTAGCTATAACAAGTTAAAATATTGAACCAGTCTCACCGGTCCACGCCTGCTATATTGTTTCGGACTTATCTTACTCGGCTGCTTAACAATCAAGTCAGCCAACATCACACTTACCTACACTTTAAATTTACATAATACCATTTTTGTGCTAACATTACACTAAAGCTTTGTATTGAATTGATATCAACAAAATAATTGCCTTGACTATAAAAATACGTTAATTCTATAACGAATTGATTTAACTAAAGCTCCTTCCACACTAAGGCAGTTCTTAGTTAAAACGTTGCTTACATAATTACACTGGCGACAACGTAATCAGTCGAACACGTGTCAATGAGGTGTTAATACAGAGCGGACGACCAAAATATTCGTACATGCACTATCGAGTTAGGGGGCGACCTTACAACCGAATGCTGGAATGGACTTAATATATGTGGAACACATTGGAAGACAATATAGAGACGATACATCAAAAGCAGCAAATTAGCAACAAGTATTATTATTGGAAGAATAGTTACATAAGAAGCCCGCGAGAAATACGTAAATACTAGTAGATCGATCTATTTTGGAAACGCGATATAGTATGGTACATCTATATAAATAAAAATGAATTTTCGTTCGTTAGTCCCGCTAATCGAGAACGGCTGAACCGATTTCGCTAATTTTGGTCTTAAGATATTCGTGGAAGTCCAGGGAAGGTTTAAACGGTGAGAAAAGTTTTTTTTTTGTTGGTACCCAAGTTTGTAGGGTCAGCTAGTATTAAATATAAAATGTGTAAATATTGTTCGTTACATTTTTGTAACTGTTGTTCGAGACAGTTGCAATGACATTTTAAATTTCAAGCGCATATACGAGGAACCAAAGTGAGGCATCTGTCAGACAGGATTTTAAAAAAAAACGGCAATTCGTGATGCGGTCCTTACCAACGCTCGATGGTGCTTTATAGATATTTAGGTCACGGTATTTGTTTTATCATTCTTTGCTTTAGGTACACTAACATTTCGTGTATCATTACAAAAATATTTGACGATTGTATTTCATTAAGAGTATTAATTAAGAGTTGTGACTCCATTATTTGCTAACGTATGTACGTAATTTATAATTAAATCTCTTCACAATCACATATCTGCATCCCCATTTTGTACCAATACATTGGAAAACTTGAAATTATTATCTACATATAAAGCTACAGGAATTTAAAAACCTATTAAAATATTTTTCTATATATAAAATTTGTAAAATTATAATGGAATACTATCATGTTATGTCTAATTCTAGATATAACAATTTATACTATACAGTATGTACTATAGTGTGTCTTATGGTCGAATTTGTATCGTCGTCGAAGAATGGACCTATTTCACCAGGTAAGGGCGGGACATTCAGCAAGAATTGTTGTACAGAGGAGTAGTAGTCCCTGCAAGTCCAGGTGTCATCGTGGCCACCGCCGGGCATCACCACCAACTTCTTGCATACTGCTCCACATCGCATGTACAGCTCTTTCCCCATCGCAGGCGGGACCAGAGCATCATTAGAGCCGCATATCACAAGAGTGGGTGTCATGACGTGCCCAATTTTCTTCAAAGACAGGTACTGGAAGAATACAAGCCAGTGAGTGTTATACACAAGTAAAAAATTATAAAATACATCTATTGATAGTGGTTACACATAGTATGTATTAGTCTGCAAATACAAACCTTATTCTTATGACAGCAAGGGGGAAGCCAGTTCAAACATCTCCATTTCAGTATAACTTGTGCCATGTCTGGTATGCTGGTGAAAGTATTCTCCACCACAAGTGCCCATATTTTGTTCCTATATTCCAGTCTCGAAGCTAAGTCAATAGCAATAGCTCCTCCTGAAATGTTATGTTGTAAGGTGAGAAGAGACTAAATAAAGACTTCTATAGAAAAATGTTTGTAAAAGCATATTTAAATGAGTCTTCATTGAAATCCTGAATCAAGTACCGTTAAAGGAAGTATAGTTCTGTTTCTATCTTTACTGTACTAACCTAAAGATCTTCCGAAAATCATAATCTTACTGACATCTATGTCAGTTCTCTGCATGATGTAATCGAGGGCCGACTGTGCGTCTACATATAAACCTTTTTCCGAAGGACTCCCTTCTGACAAACCATAGCCTCTGTACTCCACCATGAGAATATTGATGTTAAGCTTATGGTAGAAACCAGACACATTTGAGAGCCTGAAATGGTAATCAATGATTTATTTAGGTACATAAATAATCACAATTTTGAGGCTATATATACATTCAAAACAACACCAAACTCTTATTAAAAGATTGGATTAACAGTTGAAAAAGGATGTTGAAATTTGAGCCATGTGTATAAGTTTAAGTGTGGGAGAGCCATGCTTCAGCACGAATTGGGCAGGCTTGACCGGAGTGATACCACGGCCTCACAGAAACCCGACGTGAAAAACTTGCGTTGTATTTTGTAGTGTAAGTGAGTCCCCAATCTCCGAATCCTCCACAATCCCGTAATTCTCAATTCCTCAAATAAATACTACATTATAATTTATGTGACATTCCATAGTATAACATATAAAAAACCCAATAGTTATTTTTAGGTAATCCCTGTTCTTGCTCTGGTAAACCACAGCACATCATACTATCAGAACTTTGACTAAGAAAGCGGAACAGATTGTTACTTTCACAATCAGGTGAAGATATTATATAGAAATTACTTTAGTGTGGCTTGGATTACACACAATTCATTTTCACATAATTAACATACATTGTAGCATACTTAGAAGCTTGGAGCTAAAAGATTTGATTTAACAAATATTTAGCATACATTACAAAGACTAATCATAGTATACTATTTTCCAGTTTTTTTATGGCATAAGCCGGTAAACGAGTAGACAGATCACCTGATGGTAAGCAATCGGCATCGCCCATGAACCCTGGAACACCAGAGGCGTTAAAAGGGCGTTACCGGCCTTTTGGGGATTAGGAGTTTGAGGATCGTTGGGAATTCAGGGATTGGGGACATTGGGAAAGGGGAGGGTAATTGGGCCTCCGGTAACCTCACTCATACGACGAAACACAACGCAAGCGTTGCTTCACGTCGGTTTTCTGTGAGGCCGTGGTATCAGTCCGGTCTAGCCGGCCCATTCGTGCCGAAGCATGGCTCTTCCAAAAAGTTGTGATTTTAGTTAGTCTACAAAGTATTTTTTTTAAATCACTCACCTCTGTCCCATGTTCCCAGCATTACCATGAAAGAATACCATAGTAGGTTTGTGATTGCTGTTTACGGGCTGTTTTATTAGAAACATGTGTATTTTGAAGCCATCTTTATTATTAATTTTTATACTTTCATATGGAAGCTTATAGTTGCTAGGTTGAAGAACAAACACCCTGGAGTCTGGTGGATCATTGGGGTAATAAAGAAGAAGATCTTGTGCATTGTAAAGAATCCCTGTAAACAATAAACAATTTAACTCGTCGAGTACTGTTATTATAGACACAATTATAGAACAATAGGTTGCGGTCACCGGTGACCACTTGGTGTTTGACAGTTTAAACTGATGAACAGTAGTTGTGTATGGTACATTTATGTTTTACTGGTAAAAGGGAAGGGGGCATGTCAGGTAAATATGTATGTATCTCTTTAAAAAATACACATTTAATTAACTAACCACGAATTGTTAAATGTCTTTGTTAGTTATCATCATAATGAAATACTTTAGAATTCTACAAGCTTTTTGCTTAACTTGCAATGTTAAGTGTACATTACATGTTTAGATAGGGTTGAGCATTGACATTACTAATATGGAATTTCCTACTAAAGTTAAGAAAGAACCTTATACATGGTCTAAATCTTTTCTCATTACAAATATTCATTGTACATGTTGGTTACAAGTTAAGTCAAGGGGTAGAAGTGTCTAGGTTAACTTAGATACCCTATAAAATAAGTAATTAACAAAAAGGTGGCATATTATAAACACATCTCATGCGGTGTTGGACAATGATGACCAATGCTAGCGGAGGATTAGCCTTTAACAGTTTTTGTTGGCAGTTAAAGACTTAATGCATTATATTTGATTGCAGCATATTATTACATGTACTAACTAGGTAATATACAATTACAGAACTCTGTAATTTTAAATTATCAAACAATCTTACATGTAGATAAAAAGTTCAGATAAACAAGCAGGTTATCAATGTTTGCAGAACACTACAAAAATTAGTTTCTAAATTCTGATAAGCACTTGTAACAAAATGATAAAAAGATATATTTGTACAATGAATACTTTAACAAACGAGAAAGTAAAGGCTTAAAAGTTCATGTTAAGTTTTTAATAACATTTCACAGGATAACATTGGAATGACACAGTATATGAATAGTTGTAATACTGTGCCAACAGAACATCCTTAGAAAGGACACTTATATTTATAATACAAATTACAAAGTCTACTATTTATATAATATCCTTCAAAGGTTTATTTCATTAAAATTATTACCATTATACTGCAAGGTTTAGTGACAGACCTAATTGTTTTCTGGTAAAATGAAATAAACACGTGAAAAGCCAGTATTCAAAAACATTCTATATTTTTAAGTAGAGTCATAATTCCTTCTTCACCATGATAAATAATCATTACGCAGATGCTTTAAAGCCTACGTAATTAGATCTTTCGCAAATGTTTCGTTGCTAAGAGAAAGTGGGTAATACAAAAAATCTAGTAATAATATACTGTAGTTAGAGTATGAGGATTAGCCCACGAAAAAGCAAAAATATTTAACTTACCTGATATGCCCACCGTGAACACGATAAAAGCCGTTATAAATCCATAAAACCAAAACACAACAACACCACAAAATAAAGTTAACGTAGACACAACCGACAGTCTATATAATATTATCCTAAGTATATGATACATTTTCAAATAAACTATATGTTATATAAATATAAAACTGCTTTATTAAGGAAGGGAGTCGTTGGAAATGTGGAAACCTTCACAATCATTTCCAACCATAATCTAGGTCGAATAAAGTATTAAATAAAGTTTTTAATTAATATTTATCCTAACTCTTCACATATTTACAACAACACGTATTTAAATTTATTATTAGAATGAATTTGTTATAGAAAGGACAAACTGAAATATCAATTTTTTTATGTTTATTAGAATTTGACAGATGTAAAGTAATGCCAAACTAGACGAATATGCAATAAATTAATAATGTTGCCATAAAATTTGTTATAGTTGAATAAAAAAATAAATCATTTCAAAATTAAAACACCCATCAAGAGAAAAAAAATCATCTCCACACCCACACTACGTCGTTGTATCCAAAATACTCAGAAAAGCAAAGTACATATTTTTTAAAAAAACGTTACTTCGTCTTGGAATAAGCAGTCCAGCGAAGTACAGAGATAAACAAAAAAAGTCACATAAATTAGTTATTATATTCATTGGATCATAATTATTATTCTTCCACACTGTGTGTGTATTCTGCGTGTGAGGATGTAGTAGCCAGGTGCCAGTCGTTGTTTCAAAAAACTGTCCGCTTTTTTCAACATCCTTACTTCCACTAATATAAACATCACTCTTTACGCTAAAGACGTTCAAAATAACTTGACGCCAATTTTTTTTTTCATATCTTACACCCATTCATGAATGACGGTATTCTTTTTTTAAGGGGGGAAATCATCGAATGACTGCTCCCGCCTGGATGAGGCGGGGGGGAGTGTCAGACTCTTACTGATTAAAAACCACCCCGTTCCTTCTCCTGCACGTCGAGTCGGTCGACGGACGGCCCCGGTTACCCGTTAGGTTCTCCGCGACTCCGAATCGGCATCGGCCGTATTGGGCCCCATCTGTGATGGTCTAATGGCTCTTTGAGGCGCGCGCGGAACGCGACGCGCCGTACGCTCGGGTCTGTTTCTGGTCGGACGGGGAGCCACCCATGCTCGCCGTCCGCAGGCCCGCGCTTACGGTGGCCGGATATCGTCCCGCGATCCCCGACGCCCGGTGTGTCCTTCGCGATGGCTGGGTTGCGAGGAGGCAGCGCTTCGCTGCCTCACGCGTCCCGCCTCCTCCTTAGCTAGCATGACTGCTTCGCAAAAGGAGGAGACGGCATCCCAATCCCCCTCGCTCCGCATCATGGCCTGCACTAGGCCCGGACGCGAGAGGTCGCCATCGCCGATCACTTCCCTGAGGACACGGCGGTGCTCAGCCCACGAAGGGCATTCTCCCACCGTGTGTTCCACCGTGTCCTCAGGGCGGTCCTCGCAGTGATGACACCCGGGCGTTTCCTCCCGCCCCATCAGACACAGGTACCTCCCGAAACTTCCATGTCCGGTGAGGACCTGCGTCAGGCGGTAGGTGAGGACGCCGTAGCGTCTCTCAAGCCACTCCTCAAAGAGGGGACTTACCGCTGCGATGGCAGCGAGCCCAGCCCTCGGTTGCGACAGTCGTTGCTGCCATTCCGCCATGAGATCGCGCCGGAGCTCATCCCGCCACGCACCTATCTGGCGCGGCAGCGGGGTTTCGCCCCGGCGACGTGCCTCCGCGCGCATGCTGTACACGCGCGCGAGCACCTTCGCCTCCAGATCCCACGGCGGTAATCCGGCAAGGAGGTTCGCCGACTCCCCAGAGATCGTGCGGTATCCGCGGATCATTCGGATCGCCATGACCCTCTGTGCCATGAGCAGCGTCCGAGCGGGACGCCGCAACAGGTTTGGCGCCCAAACAGGGGCGCCGTAGAGGGCCATGGACCGCACGACCCCGGCGTATAACCTCCGGCAGGAGGCGTTTGGCCCCCCGAGGTTGGGGAGGATGCGTTTAAACGCAGCCCCCGTCCTCGCCAACTTTGGAGCCAAACGTCGGAAGTGTTCAATGAAGTTCCACCGACTGTCGAGGACGAGTCCTAGGTACTTCATCGTCGTCTCGACGCCGATGGTAACTCCTCCCGCCGTTATTTGGGACCCACCCGGAGGTGGCGCGTTCCCGCGGCCATGAAAACACATGGCCTCGGACTTGTGGAGCGCCACCTCGAGTCCCAACTGCCGGATTCTCTCAACGACTGTCGCAACCGCTGTCGCCATTAAGTCGGCCGCCGCCTGGTGCGACCTCCCGTGCGCTAGCACCAGCGTGTCGTCGGCGTAGCATATTGTGCTAACTGTACACAACCCCACAAAGAGCCAGGAGATTGATCGCTGGACTGAATAAATCTAAAACTGTGAGAAATAATTAATAAAATATAAGAAAAATAAAATCTCTTTGTAACATATATTGCGTGAGATGTAGGGAGGGGATTATGCCAAATCTTATCAAATTCATGCCTATTTTTAGGAGTAGTAATGAAATTGTCTAAATATAATTTAATAATGATTTGAAAGGGGAAATAAGAGAAATTAAAGCATCAATATTAAATATTTTTATTTACATTAAAGATAAGGATTTAGTAATTAAGTTATTTAAATCTTGGTTAGTTGTTAGAATATTGTAAACTAAGGAGGACGAACTTGCATTGTAGATGTATTTATATAAAATATTCATAATTTATAACGTATATCAAAGGCACGCAAAAGACACACCCAACAGTAAAAAATCATTTAATTGTACATATTAATTAATATTAAAAATGTCAAAGAATTACGAATTATTTGAAAATAGCGTTTGCTTAACAATTATGGGCATTGTGTCTATTTTCCAAATATGTAAGACAAATGTGAGTGACTGGCTATACTTGAATAAATACATCAATCGTCGTCAAAATCCTCGTATAACTAGATTTACAATAAAATGCATTTAAAAGCAATCGTGATGTAGGTACACAATAAATAATTCACATTGTTATTATTATATAAACCTAATTTACACACAAATCTTGAATCTAAAACATTGTAAATATATGATCTGTTGATGTACCGCTTATCTAATAATATTCCTTTGCTCATAGAAACATGTCATCTAATATACACATATTCTTTATAACATGACTTAACCACTAAAGAAATACTTGGGTACACATATATATAGTTGATTGCTTGTAATTCGTTCTCATAATTATTTTGTAAAGGTTTTTGTCGAGAAGAGTATTAGAAAAAGTTAGCACCAGTGTTTCGAAACATTACTGTTGAGGCGGAGTCGTTTTTTTAACTTTATTATGAGCAGTCAGAAACCTAAAAGACTTTTCTCCATCCAAAAATTATGCGTTGCTGACCTCAACTCACTAGAAGAAAACAAAGGAAATAAATAAAGACAGAATGAAATCAAATAACATCCTATATTGAGCATGATTAACGAATATTTTTTTAAGAGCAAAGAAGAGATGCGGTAGTACAAGGACTGGACGAGTGACCTGACACATTATAACAAGAAGTCATCACTATTCGCATAATTAACTAAACTAATAAACACATCTCATTAAAACTAGTAATTGTAAAGTGGATCGACAATAGTGCCACAAACATTTACCTCTTATCGTAACTATTTTAGAATATTCATAGAATCCAGTTCATAATAATATTATACATTTCCCGATTTATTATTGTATCATATTCGAATAAAACACAACTTTAAGCTTATTATAAAATATTAATTAAAAATAGGTTATACAATTATCAACTGTCTGTAATTATACATCATTATTGAATTACCAGTAAGTAGCGTAGCGACTCTTAAGTGTACAATTGACAAAAATATTAACTTTACATTAATGGTGTATGCAATAAATTAATCGGATATAACTTCATTTTATTTTAAATAATATCAAAGACTGTAAATCCTTTAGCAAAAGAAATAAAGGATATTACAAAAATATTGTACAAAATGAATTATTAATTATTATGAAGAATACTTCAGTTTGATATGAGTGTCACTTATACTCTAAATATAAACTACACATTACAACAACAACAAATTGAAACAATACAATAGCTTATCCAAATATATATCTACTTGTTATTCTTGATTCCGTTTTTGAGTTTTTTATATTCATTAAACAAGTCTTGAACATCTTTCAAAGATCGCTCGATTTGCTTCACGAAATTCGATGAGCTCTGTAAAAAATTTTTAAACATTAATCAGAGTGGCTATTCATAATATAATCATGTATCATTCATTTTATTACAACAGGTGATTATTTTTTTGAGCTGTTAGTAAACTCTTGAAAACGCTGTATACTGAAGACTTGCTTTCGTACTGCCGAAGCTTCTGCTGCGGGCGACTCGCGTGTTACTCCCGGAAGGGTAAGTTTTACAAAGGTAAGTATAGTGAATAGCCTCTTTGCTCTCATGGGGTTACAATGACATTGTGACTATGTCATATAATTTTGCCATCCAATTTACGCTGGTTTTATTTTGTAAAAAATATAAAACTTATATTAACAATTATTAACTCGAATTGGTTATAAAACTTATTACTATAAAACTATAAAACTTATTACCGATTTTAATTTACAAATATAATAACCCAGTAAGTATCTATATATATAAAAATCAATTGCTGTTCGTTAGTCTCGCTAAAACTCGAGAACGGCTGAACGGATTTATCTTATCTTGGTCTTGAATTATTCGTGGAAGTCTAGGGAAGGTTTAAAAGGTGAGAAAAATTCGAATAATTGCCTGGAAAATCCTCAAAACAGCATTTTTCTATTTCCCATACAAACGATTTCTAAATAAAATGGAGAGTCAATTTGTAATTTATTACCGCTGCATAAAGTTCAAATTATTTATTACGATTTATCTGAAAACCTGAAAACGGATATCTGACAGGTAACATTACTATGGTAACCAACCTGATGATTTGTAATTGTTATGGCGTCCTACTTCCATAATATATTTTGGCATCAACATATAAAAATGAAGTTCTGTGGGTTTTCAAGGAATAATATTAGTATTCAGCTGCATCAGAGATTTTAAAGACAAAATACGAATTCAATTGACTGAATACAATTTATTCATAGACTAGCCTCTGTCTGCGGCTTCTCTCGCGTTCTTTTAATGGGGTGAGGGAAGGATTTACAATAAAAAAATGAAATGATGCACGATTCTATGCTGGTCACAAATAACCCGCATACCAATTGTTAGCTTTCCACATTGAAAATTGCAAAATACCCCATACAAACTTTCACCTCTGTTTCACGGAAGTGGAAGGGGGTTAGAAAAAGACAAAAAGTAGCCTATGATACTCTCCATCTTTTCAACTATCTCAAATCAAAAACCTTCCTGACTCCGTTCTGTCGTGAAATACGGACAAACAAACAAACAAGCACATACAAATTTATATTATTAGTATACCTCTACATTTCTTAAGTCATCTGAGATTTGTGTGACAAGTGAGTTTACAAAGTCAATGTGTCATAGATTTTTTTTATACTATGGTATTAATATTAAGGTATGCAAAGAGGTTGACAGCAGTCTAAGGAGATAAAACCACGAATAAAATATTTTCAGTTTACTTGAATTCGTATTTTTTATATGTATATCAAAAAAACTAGCTAAATGCACATAGCTAAAAAATAATATTAGTCCTTTTCATTTTAGACCGTCAAGGCCAAATTCACTATGATAGTTTGCTGTTTTTTTATGGCATAAGCCGGTAAACGAGCAGACGGATCACCTGATGGTAAGCAATCTGCGCCGCCCATGGACACCTGTAACACCAGAAGTGCTAGAAGTGCGTTACCGGTCTTTTGGGAATTGGTAATTTGAGGATTGTCAGGGATTGGGGGGGCTGAGGGAGGGGTAATTGGGCCTCCGGTAACCTCACTTACACAGCGAAACACTCCTTTAGGTAACCGAGGGCTGGGCTCGCTGTCATTGCAGCGGAAAGTCCCCTCTTTAAAAGTGGCTTTAGAGAGGCCATCAATGCGAGGACCGCCCGGAGAACACGGTGGAGCATATCGTGGCGGTGTACCTTGCATGGGCTGAGCACCGCCGTGTTCTCAGGGATGTAGGAAACGGTGACCTCTCGCGTTCGGCTCTGGTTCAGGCCATGGAGCGAGGGGGATTGGGATGCAGTCGCATCATTCTGCGAAGCAGTTATGCTTGCCAAGGAGAAAGCGGAGCGCGTGAGGGAACGAACTTCCTCACGCCCCAGCCGTCGCGGGAGACACTCTGGGCGTCGGAGATCGGCCGACCACAGGCCACCGTAAGTGCGGGTCTGTAGACGAAGAGCAAGGGTAGCTCGCCACCCGACCAGAACCAGTCCCGTGCATACTGCGCGCGCCTTACAGAGCCATGACACCATCATAGATGGAGCCCAGTAGGGCTGATGCTCGATACGGTGCCGCGGGAGGCCTAACGAGTTGACGGGGCTCCGGCTCGACGAGCAGGAGTAGGAACGGAGTGGATTTTAGTCAGTAAGAATCTGTCACTCCCTCTCACCTAACCCAAGGCGGGAGAAGTGATTGGATGATTTTCCGACCTCAAAAAAAATCTCCTTTAGGTAATGACAACCCGATGTGTAAAAAACCACCAAAAAAACTCCTTATATTATTGGTATTGATTACGCTGTGGAAATTATGGACAATAGAGCCAAAGGGGTGTATTAAGTCTTATAGAGGACATTAATATCAACATTAAAGTCCATGTATCATATGTAACTAACCTAATATCAGAATACCTATTTTTTCATTTAAATGTTTGCGATAGTAACGCATGTCGTACCGGTACATATCAGGTCACATTATAGGAGAGAGGAAATCCCAAAATGACGGAAACTATGCGCTAAAAAACCAGGACTAAGGACGTTGAAATAAAGAGGGGCTCTTACCTTTTAAACCATTGAACCTATTTGGTGAAATTCGGTACAGCGATAGTTTGAGACCCGGGAAAGGACATCTAAAAGTTTTTAACCCGAAAAACCCACGAAACCGGGAACTGTGCTGTTAAAATCACTATATCTATTTGATTGAAATGCGATACAACATTGATTTGCAAACATAGAATAGTGAAACCTCACGAGACGGGCACTGTACGGGTAAAACCTCTTATGGGATTGTTTATTTTAGAAACCACGAAAATATATTCATTTCTCAATAAATATAACCTAGGTACTGAATCGATTGTGTTGATATTTTGTTCCAGTTGTACAGCCGTAGAATATACCTTGACAAAGACTAATTTAAAAACCCAATTTATACAGAAGTCGCTATTTCACGCGGACGAAGTCGCGGGTAACAGCTAGTAACTAATAAAATATTGATTTTAATATCACAGATGTGCATGATTTATATCGAACCTTGATTAGATACTGACACAATAATAAAATAGATCCATATTTTAGGTTTTAGTATATTAAGCAGTTCATTATTATGAGGAAATTATGAGCAATATGGGGCTGCGCATTATGGGAAAGATGTTAGTAGTCACCGAAGTCTGTATATTTTAATTTTGAAGATAGTAAATTGTTTCATAATTCAATCGATATTTTTTACTCAAATATCAAACATCATCCACAAAAACCAGGAAATCTCAAAAGGTTTAAATACATGGTTTATGAGCCTACTTGGTGCAAACAATCAACAATATAGTTTTGTTCATAACATTAGTATGGATTTCTTACCGTGATTGGGCAGCTCTTCTTGCTGGAAACGTGGAAGAAGAGCAAGTCTTCTCCGACGATGATGTAGGAGACTCCATAGCCATCATCTGCTACAGGACCAAAACCACCGCCAGCGCTCACACACTTCGGGTGCTTCTTTAAGTCCAACATTGATGTTTGACCTGGTAATAAAGCAAGGATTTCGTTTGGTTATGTCGCTCTAATACGTAGATATATCGTACTCAAAATTTGTTCATACAACAGTAGTTTCTAAATTTCAGAAATAAGGTCTATAATGGAGTTAGTGAAGAGCGGTCACCGGTGACCGATTGGGGATTGAGCAGCCAAAAGCATTTCTCTAAACATTCATCAGTTTTTTTTTTGTGATTGATGGAAATATAATACCAAGACAAATTGCGAAAAAGTACTGACCGTGTGGTGTTTGACTTGTCGATAGTCGCCACGGTTCATTGAAGACCTCCTGCAGGAAGGGTGATTCAAGTTCGAGATATTTCGAGACGACATAAAGACAGAAGAGATGACGGTCGATGCCTCTGCCTGCCATGGCGTCTTGGTAGCCTAACTGATGGCGGTGGCTAGCTTTAACGAACAGATCCATTCGCTCTTGAATCTGAAATCATTAAATAATCAAAGATAATGTTTTTCAACGTTTGCCATCGACTGAACATGTCGTTATCTGCGTAGAATAACTTAGAAATGACAACATACCGTGGCATTTGGGTTCTCCATAGACTTGACCCATTCAGAGCTTTCGATGGTACAGGACCGGACGGTTTCTGTGCGACCCTCACGGAACAAGCGAGTCATTGACGCCTCGTACGTCAAGCAGAACCGGCCAGCGTCACGGTAGTACGACAACTGAAGGATTAACTGGATGAAAGCGTCCGGAGACACACGGCAGCTCTTCATGAAACCTGATGATAGTCAGAATAATTTATGTTGCTCACTTTCTTATATACACACAGGCAATTAAATAATATTTTATGAATCACACAATACGAACCTTTTCCGTATTTGGTGTACATTAATATTCTCAAGTCAACATCATTCAATAGTTTCTGAGCCACGTTGTAGGAAACGTCAACGCTCTTGAGAAGGTCCTCATTGCCAAGGTCCCATTGTAAACGGATTGGAGCCGGTGGAGGAGAGTCGACCGTGCCCAGCGTGTTGCCGTCAGGTCCGTACCTAGAACAATATTATTTTGTTACAATTCTAACATTACAACAAATTAAGGCAAATAATTGAATACAAGTTAGATATCCTTACCCGACTTCCAATTCGCACCAAATGACGTATTCCCATAAGTGGCCCATAACAGGTGCGTCTGCCCTGTAATATCATATTTGTGTTAGACAACAATATTTAAAATTCCATGTAATCATTTAAAAATATGGGTTTTGATTAAAAAGGTTCGTACCATGTGTGTTCAGAGTTAAATCCAACCTGTAAAATTATAAAAAAAATGATTAATAATTAGCAATAGTCAAAGTAGGTATTTTTCCGTGTTTTAAGTATTTTCTAAGATTATTTAGACACTGACAAACGATGAAGGAAAATATCGTGAGGAAACCTGGGCTTATAATTGCTAATATTATAAGTTTGCAATCGTCAACCCACAGTGAGCAAGCGTGGTGATTAAAGCCTTTGGTTAGCAGTGGTCACTTATAGACTGATGATGCAGAATAAAGTAGGTACTCTATAATCAAATGGAAAGTACCTAGATAATAAATATATCGAACAATTTTAATTTTGTCTAGTAACATACCTATATAATTTATATATTTATACTTTCCTTAGTGTAATTGCGTAAGTGCGCTATCAATAGCCAATTGCCATGACGTTTGTTGCGCGATGTAGAACTGTATACTAATTGCTATTTAACGCAGTACATAGATAGGTACACGCCAAGTAAAGGAAACACCAGTTTACAAAATCTGTTTGTATCGGAGTTCGTGGAAGCCAAAAAAATACTTACGAAACCGTTTTTGCTGAAGCATAAGTTGAACGACTTGTCGAACCATCGGTCGTGGCCCTTTCCGTGCAACAGAACTCGACCGAACTCGTCCAGTTTCGAGGGATCTTTTTCGTCATAGCCGTACTCAATGTCATCTGGAATGAGACATGAACTGTTAGATTGAGGTATCAAAATTACAAAGCCTTAAAATGCTTGAGATATATGTTTCAGAATTCCAGATCTTACCTATTCTACGTATGATATAAAATGAAGTATTCTTAAGAATGACAACAGCAGAGTGGGTTCTATAGCTTCAGGACTAACACTAAAGTGTTGCAACCATGAACCCTCCTAATTTAGAAGAACTGTAACTTCCTGTTAGCATTCGCAATTTGACCCAATGCCAGTCTCGTGTCAACCCAGTGTCTTGGAGACAAAACAGATGTAAGTATAGCAAGATAATGGCTATATGACGTCACTTGTCTGTCTATCTTACTTATTCGATTTATCTGGGTTGTATTGTCTAGTACAAAGTTAATGTAATCATTGGTAACACTGCGCTTGTCTTGTTATCGATACTATCGTAGTGATAAACTAGTTTTCGTAATTAGAGCTGTCTAGCTCTGTTTAGCTCTAACTTTTTCTTTGAATTGCAGCTTAGACTCTGAATCAGAGGAGGCTCTGAGCCTATCCAATGCAAACAAATATACCTACAAACATTTAAATGTTTCCTCTTTATTAAGTAGTATAGATACTGATTGTGTTGTGCCCATATACAAACGTCCGGGGGCTCCCTCGTGTAGCAAATGTACGGTACGTTTATATACGCTACGATAATGACGGGATGAGCTGACAGCGAATGAAATTACGCTAACGTAGCATTGAATACTATTACGGAACTAGAAACAAGGTCGACTAACATGTGCCGTTGTAAACGATACTATACCGGGTCGTTAGGTACTACCACTGCTCGGCTCTTATTAATCGTAGCGAGATGTTTTATAGCCTTCTTTGATAAATTGATACAAAAAGAGGTTTTAAATGTTCGATATATTTTTTTGTAAATAGTACTTCCAGAATTCCAGATATTAGCGCATTCAGCCAAACAAACAAATTCTTCAGTTTTATTATGATATTAAGTAGTTTAAATAGATGCAGGACCGATTAATAGCGAAATTTTATAGTATAATTATATTGGTCTTATTATAGGTACTTGTAATTTTAAGATAATATTTGACTTTTTATAGTTCAGAGGTTACTGATTAAGCTGTTATAAACACTGCAAAGTACTTTGGACTTTGCTTCTTGTAGGTGTATTGGCGTCTGTTCCTACTTCTGACGGCCGTGAATGAATAATTAAGGGCGTGATTATTTTTAAGGCACAGTGACAATTTATTCTCTTTACATTGCAGTAAGTGAATCGAGTATAGATACACATTATAAACAAGGAAAACGAGTTCATGGGTTTAAAAGGCCCATAAACAAAAGGGTGTTTTAAAGAAACATAAGTTTTATTCAATATCATGCCGCTAGTGAACTTTGCCGAATACATTTTTTACTACATAGTGTACAATTTGATAAAAATATTGAGGTCAATGAGATCCCCAATCTCCACCGAAGGTCATTTTCTTATCATTGTAGGTATGGATTCACGGAACTGATTTACAGTTCCGTGTCTACACTTTATTTTGCTTTCAATAATAATTAAAATACTTTAAAGTTTACAGTACAAGACTGCCCTAAATATTAGTGGAGCGTTTTTAGTATACAATGTAGGTGCAAGGTGCAAAATCTGGCCTTTCTGCTTCAATTAGGCTGCGCCCACATTGAGCATACTATGGGCGTGTGACACATATTCATTATCAGTGTCAAATCGATTACAGGTTACCTCAAAATTTATATCCAGGTGCATTGATTTAAGAGTGCTTATATGCAACCCAGCAATAAACAACTTGTGCGAAAGTACCCATAATAATGCAATTACGGGAAATATCAAAAAGGATGCGAAATGTTACATTGGTTACAGATCACTCTGGTCTCCGAGCTTTTTGAACAGAGATTACGATCTCGAATCCCTGTAGTGACCTAAATAAAAATTATCAAAGTCGGTCCTCGCTAATTCGTCAATAGCTCGTGATCAGTCAGTTCTAGTCTAGCTTTCCAAGTCATCCACATCCACGTTACTTTCCACCTACAAAAAGCTGGACAAACGAGTCAAATATTAAATACCTGACACACGACAAGTCAGGCGTTTATAAATAAATTCTATCGCTTACTGAGGGATTTACGTACAATAGAATTATTGATTTGGTAAGTGACATTAGCTTACCTAAGCATACGTTGAAGGCGGCTCGTTCGATGCAGTGCAAGGAGGTGCGGTTATGTCCTCTGTTGAACATGGTCTGCCTGATATGTGCCCAGTGTGAGCGCTCACCCGCTGTCAGCGCCGCCACGCGTTCCTCTCCCACGACAGGTTCCGATTTATCATCCAGAATTTGTTGGATTTGTCTAAACAAAACATTACATAATATTTAGTACAATAAACGAACCAAGACGAGTCATACATTGCTAGCAAGGACCACACACGCAATGTCCTCGCCGTAACTAATTATACAATGTACCCAGATGAAGCAATTACCTATTTAGGTACAGCCAAACTGAAACTACGATGGATGAAATCGAAAAACAACCTGATATGTTTTATGTATCATTTAATGTTGTAATCCTAACACTGTGTTAATGTGTATATGTACCCTAATAACTTTACATATAATGCAAATAGGTTAGAAAACGGCAGCATTGAACGACGACCTCAATTAGCTTGATTGGTAAGCAGTTGAATGCTTGACACTACATACAAGCGCAGCACTGACGAAGGGGATTATTTAGATTATTACTGCATAACGTGCGCATTACAATTACGTAAGACCAGATCTTTCATTAAAATGCTTCGAAATCGACACATCACGTCAAGAAGCATAGTGGTTTGTTGAAAACTTTGCTCAATATTAGCATCCCCTCAACATATTTAACTAGTTTTTATAACCAACGTGCTTAGTGTTTCATAATTTTATCTGTTCTCCTCATCCAAATTGCAATAAAGTTGTAAAATGTTTAATGTGTCATACAAACGTAATTAACATATCGTGTCAATGTATAATGAGATAATTATCTTATATGTCATTTAATAATTTGTAGCATAGAAAGAGTAATATAATATGGACCATCTAGGGCCGACTACAACGATTATGTAGGTACCTATTATTATAAGGGGAGAAAGGGGCTGTACGTGATACAAGTAGGAATACTTTTTGTTGTATGACTTGGATTACTATTGGATTTAAAAAATCTTTCATCATTACACATTTTTCCTTTCAGGAAATAACAGTCTAATTTTTATCCCAATATTCCTACAGAAATTGGATCTAAATGAGACAATTTCTAAATTCAGTCAATGCGGTGGGCAGAAAGATAGTATGTATTGTATAAACTTACATTTGAATTTCAGCTGGTTTCAGCAGGCGTCCTCTTGAATACACGAGCACTTTATAGTATCTACCTTTGTGGTAGACAGTGATGTGGGTCGAGTCCTGATAATGCACGATCTTGTCCCGTTCAATGCCAGGGACACGGACCGTGTTGAATAAGCGTTCATATTGCCACGAGCATAGAGGCACCATATTCTGTAGCATAATCTGTACGGACATTTACAAATGCATCAACAACATAGAAAACAAAACAGACAATTTCTATTTATAAACAAACGCGTCCTCGGCCCTCGCTTGCACCAAGTCATTAATTATTGTCACATACGGTCGATTATTGATTATTTATGAATTTATGCAATTGAATAGGAAACTCCAGTCATAAGGAAGTTCAAGTAAAATAAAAACATTAAAAGTCTAATGATTGTGGCTCTTTCTAATCGGTATTTAGTATGTAAACGGATAAACTGTAATATGTAAGCATGTAGTACAGACATGACTAACATTTTGTGATCCACATACTTATTGTAAAGTAGTGTTATTGATAAGTGGAGTCGCATTGGTGTATTGGGGACTGTTATCAGATAATATAGGTAACTGCGATGCACCAAAAAAGCGAATCATCATTATCATAGTCAATTATGCTCGGATTGCCTTACAAATTGCCAAAATGTTAATAAGTTAGCAGTATGCCATATATATGCCATAAAAAAGTATAATGTTTTGAAACTCGGACCTAACCCCCAAAAGGCTGGCAATGCACTTGTGCTCCTGTGGTGTTGCAGGTGTCTATGGGCGACGCCCATTGCTTACCATCAGGTGATCCGTCTACTTGCCGTCCTAATTAAATCATTACAAAGAAATTTGTTACGAACCGGTTCAAGCTCCTGTCTATCGATAAGTCTCCTGAACTTGAGGCACAAATGGATGATAACACCAGCCCTTGCGGCCTGAATGTTAGTCGGTCTCAATAAAATGGCGTCAGTTCCGTAGAAGTTTGAGTTGACCATCAGAGGTGAGCGACCGCGCAGGTACACGTACTCCTCCCACCAATCGGAGACGTAGTTGCTGGACCACCTACGACAAATCGTTATAATCAATTATGAATGAACTAATTATAGTTACACCAATTTGTCTCAGAGTGCCATAAGCTTCCAATTCCAGCATCGAGTGATTTCTATAAATTATTATTAGACTGCCTCGTTGGCCGAGTGGTCGCAAGTGTAACTGCCGGGTTCGATTCCCGGGTCGGGCAAAGTATTAATGGGTTTTTAAATCTCAGTAATAGCACGGAGTCTGGAAATGTGCCCAGTATATGGCAATAGGCTCACTCCCTATTACATGGGACTCATAACATAAATAGTGAAAAGTGGGTGTTACATTGTACAGTGGCATAATGTGCACCTCTGCCTACCCCTTCGTGGATAAAAGGCGTGATGTTATGTTATGTTATTATTAGAAAACATACTTCGATTTCTTTAAACTTTATTTTATATTGACGATAGTCAAATACAGTGACGGTATAATGTGTACAATAATTACCATGACTTTAGCACCAAATATCTTTGTAGTTTTACAGCAATAGTTTCTTCAAATTCCTTAGCTAATCTTTCTACTCTCTTATAGTTCTCATCGTCCAATAGGGGACGAACACTAATCAGGTACTGAAACAATAAAGGGACTTATTATATTGGAATAGCGTTAATTGCACATTGTATTATCCAAAAAGAGTATAAATATTATGAAAATTGAACAGGATAAAAACTCACGATCACATCGTATTCAGACGTTCATAAATTTATTTCGTATTATGTTTTTTTTTGTACAAAAAATACGCACACAATGGCACTGTTAAAAACTTAGAGGGAAGTTTTAAACAAAGGCAACATTTCGTTTTATATAACAACATGTATTAAGTCAGTATATGAACGTCTTTTTAGACTTCTTGCAATGTTTTATCATTTGACTGGCACAGATATGTATAATAGATAAGATCTGATTTGATATTTGTGTATAAATAAGTTAGGCGCGCAAATAGGACTGTCTAGAATCAACAATTACCCGTTTCATAGTATCCTTAACAGCAGGTAGCGGTAGTCTTGGTAACGATCCTTGAAAGCTATACAATTTGGGTTTGTTCCACCCGGATAATACTTTAACCACACTTATCCACAGCATCGTCTTCAATGAAATCTTCGATCCTGGGGCGCGAGATTCATACATCCAACCCTAAAGAGAAAATTCGTTACAAACATGGTAATTACGATCAGATATCATTACGCAATTTATTAAACGGTTAAATTTTACCTTGTACATTAATAGCAGTTTGAGAAGGTATCTCATGAGAAATATCACACTAAGCCACATGGTAAGAGCTGCCAGTAAACAAGCGATGACCTGCCACATCGTGGAGTTGCTGAACAAAACACAATTATAATTATAAAGTTACTCTACCGTTACACATAAATATTATGCAAAAATAAAATATACATCTAGATAAATGTTGCAGGCATTGTCCTTGACTCCAATGGTAGTGACTTTTGATCTATGACAATTTGAGATCAGCGATTAGTTGGTAGGTAAATGCTTAGTTATTCCTAACATCTTATCCTCATAAGAAAATAACTTATTTGTAGTTTTGTTCTTTTGTTGCATGCGTTGGCTGTGAATGCTAATACCTAGTTATTGTACAACACAATACATTTATGTATTTTTCAAAAATGAATTACCTAACTAATTTTAATATGTTTTTACAAAAGGCAAAGCATTATAATAATTAACTCATTTCAAGCATTTAAGTAGATTTTATTCTTAAAAGATAGGTATATGTAATCGATATATAGCACGATTTATAATAATTGTGACTGGAAAGCGAATGCTTTATGGACTATTAAAATATGTTACTAATGGTTACTTCAACGCCTAAAGGCGAAATAATACTTTGTATGTACTATGGTGGATAGAGAATTAGAGACAGACCGAGCGACTATACACTTGACAAAACAATACTTGTAAGATTTTTGTGAATGTAATTAGTTGATGTCCTTCTTGCGATAATAATAATAAGTAATAAAATACGTAAAAAGAGATTGGGAGTATTCCGAACATAATTTAAGCTATTCAACTATAATTTGACTAATTTGTGCGTCATCACCATTTTACAGTGGGTGCGTTTGGCACTACCCTCGGCGTAAGAGATAAAACGGTTTTAATATGTCAACAATTATCTTATATCTTCATTAAAAGAAGATTGATTAAAACGGATACGATAATTTTGTTGTCATGATAATCAGCAGACGGCGTTCGAAATATTGTGGATTAATTTATCGTATTACATCGATAAGAACCCACGGCAATGCCCTGAAATGCCTACTTGTTTCTAAAATAGCTTTACGTAAAACGATTCTGTTTATTTTTCTTAGCATTTTTTTTAAGTGAAGGTAATTACGGAATTATTCTTTGAAGTTAATTTTTTTAGATAGATTACCAACAGCTTTTTTATTTGAAAGAGAATACATTTAATTTTTTGCATTGAATGGTGTAGTAGACTGACTATTAGACTGTATTGAAAAAATATTCCAATATTGGAAAGTTTACGTTTTATGGAGTAACATCACGTAACATTGACACCAAGTAAAATTGTACATACCTACATATTTTGAGAAAGGGAGGGGTGTCGCAGATTTACATTTAAGTCGAAGCCTCCCAAACATTCAAATTTCACTCATAAAGTCGTAGGGGACTATATACCTACTTATTCCTTATAAAATGCTAAATCTAAACTAAATAAATTATACGGTTTAAATTAATTAATTTATTTATTTTATTTATTTTAATTTGGGTAACCAACAGCTATATTACAAAGAATAAAATTTCAGAATATGCTAATACAAAGCCAATTATAGGTTTCCACGGCTAGCTATAGTATACCTTTACAGAGGTTTTGCGAATGCAATGCACATAAAAGTATAAAACATGGATATTCATTCAAAAAATTTAAGGTTTAGTCGCCTACGCACCCTGGAACTGATTGTGGTAAATGGATCAAGTAATATTTATAATTTTATTGTACTTACCCAGGTAAAACAGATAACGCTTTTTGTACTAATCCAAATGGTACACTAAATCCCGCGAAATGCGCAGCCGCAAGTAGTGTCCACAGCACGTAGAGGGACTGTAGATGTCCCGGATAAACGCCATTGTGTACACTATTCTAAGAAACAAAAAATTCATATTAAATTACAGTCCGTAAAAATAGTTGACTTATTTAAGTAATCGTAGTATTTAAAAATGCTGGTCTTAAAACTGTGTTTATAAAATGTTCAAGTAGGTAGGGTATTTTTTTAAATACCTATTGCATTCAACATGTCTCATAAAAAACAATGGGTAATACTAATAAGAAGCTTAATCTTATTAATTAATTATACCTCCGCCTAGTGCGATTGCGATTACTTAGCATTAATTTACAATCACTGAAATTGAACTTTACTATTGCCCCCTTGCACATGACCATTTTACTGAATGCTAAGTAGGCATACTTAATACAAAATGATTAGATTTAGCTTTGTTGGATGTCGAGTGAAGAGGATAATCATAAATAACAAAGCAAATTGCCATAATTATGAAGTTCATTCCGGATGTATTAGTCCAAAGTAGAATAACAGGGAAAAGTAAATAGAAAACTACTGATATCAAATCAAAGCCTGCTTAGGAAGCAGAGTCAATTCCAAATTTATCAGTTATCACTGTTAGAAAAGAATGAATACTATCTTTCTATAAAGTGTAGTATGTAGGTAACATAAGTGCGCTGATATTAACATTGGGTAGATTAGATGACCTCTGATGGACCTATGTAATAGTCTATGTGATACTTAGTTGGATTATATTGTAGGTACTTACTCTGAAGCGAGCTAGACGTTTCTTCCAAGACCGTATACCTGATTCCCAGACCAGATAAAGTACTTCGCGATCAAAATTTACATCCCATCCGTCATGAGTGATCGCGAATGAAAACGCAACGGCTGAGTGCGCTTCAGCCATCTTGTTTTAGTGGTCTAAAACAAACAAATGATTCTTTTTTTAATACTAAACACAATAATCTTATACTTCTGCTTTTAGGTAGATCAAAGAAGTACAAGTATTAGCTAAATAAAATTTGCCAGAGCCAGATTTATTTGTTACCCACATTTTATTTATCAAAATTACACATTATAATATCAATTTATAAATTGCATAATAGTATTAAGTTAACACCTGAAAAAGCTTTGACTCATCAAAAAATGTTATTATATGATTTATTAAATGAATACTCTCTTTCTTCTCGGCTGTAATAATAACTTGTACAATAACTATACGCTGAGACAAATAGGTACTTTAACTCGTCGAGTACCGTCATTATAGACACAATTATAGAACAATAGGTTGCGGTCACCGGTGACCGCTTGGTGTTTGACAGTTTAAAATAGATATGTCTAAGTATAAGTAAACATAATTTTATTGTATGTGATTATAGCTGTAGTCTATCTATAAATATTCTGATAAATAATTCCATTATAGCTTGAAGGTGATTAGTTTCACATAGAACATACTACACCAGAGCCTGAAAGTGACCCCATAACATGGAGCCTATAACAAAAGTGTTGAAAAGTAGTTGAATATAAATGTATGAGCATATATCGCTAAATAACAATAATTATTTATATTTTTAGCTCAGCCTGATGCACATAAATAAAAAGTGAAACCACACAGAACAATTAGTTTCAAAACTCATTATCATTAATCATGAGTAATTTATAACATGATGTAATATTTAATTCTATAATCTAAATTTATTTAGATCAGTGATATCGCAAAGCTGAATTCATTGTTCACATAAATAATTTGATAAATTAAACTTTCTTACAAACGGCAAACAAATACACACTTTATTAACATGTTATTAACTCGTCGAGTACCGGTTTTGTAGACACAATTATAGAACAATAGGTTGCGGTCACCGGTGACCGCTTGGTGTTTGACAGTTTAAGTAGCAATGTGTCATGTGTATGGCAAGACTTGCCAACTAAAAAACTGGTAAAAAGTAGGTGGAACAGGAGGACATGGGAACTTTGTTGCATTAACGGTTTTTCAAAGTTAGAAAAATAAAATATCATATTACTGTGGTACAGCAATGTGTTAATGAATACTATCATAATTAAGCATGTGTTGGTTATGGCTGTTTGGTTTTCAATAGCACTTCTCAATAGTTCTCTTTCTTCAAACTTATTAATAGTAAACAATGAATGCTACCAGTATATACAAATAAATCCTGCAGTTATGATATTGAAGATAAACTAAAATAAGCCCACACTGAAAATTATGTCCATGTAAGCACTTTAATGTTTCTTTAATTAGATAATTCTTAAAGGAAAAGGATAACATGCACTGAAAGTAGTTGTAGCTAGCTATGTTTATTATACTTATGTGGCCTTGAGCCTAAGAAAGTGCTATATAATGAGATTGATTGACAGAAGTGTTTTATCACAAAATATTTTTGTTGTTGATGGTCTACTTAACAATAACTCATACCACAATAAACTTAAGGTATTTTTTTAATATAGACCTCCTACTTCAATCTAATATTTAATGTGAGAGCCATTTATGAATAGGATCCAAGTCCTTTCAGGACACCAAATATTTTTTTAGGGATAACAAGGGAATCTGCAAAGACGTTCTAGCATCACTTTCAATGGTAAATTGAGATTTAAAAATTTGAACAGAAAGTCAGTCAGAAATGAAAGTCCTTCAAGCAATGTGAAAGTGATCAATGTTATATAAACTATCACTTATTTATTTTCATTTAATAGAAGATTTTAACTCCTTTTAGAGGGTAGCCGGACATTTCAAAGGTCTTTATGTATAAGTTTTCAGACATAGGTGTCACCCATGGGAAATTGTTTAACAATAGTTCTGTTGAACAGTCTATTCACGTGAACTAGAAATTAACATGTCAGAAAATAATAATTGGGATTAAAATATTATGCTACCTAGTTTGTACACAAGAGAAATCTGTGCACACATTCGCAAGGCATAGGATATAAATACGCGTTCGCTTCGCTACACGCACACACGCTTAGCAGGTGTCAAAGTCTAATTTGAGGAACGCGACGGTTTTACGTAAATTCGCAACAATCGCAACACGACGATAATCCTCATCTCTTTTAACTATTTAATCCGAATGTCGTATAGAGCTAACAACGAATTTGGTGCTAAATTAAGAATTAGATTCACATGGTGAAGTCACATGCTGACCACGTATATGAAATTTAACATCGAAAAAATATGTCCAGTACAAGAACGTTATTTTTGTTTTCCTAAATTCTTTAATGAAATTACCTACAAAAGTCATTTTTATTTGCTTCTAAAGTTATAATTCGTTAGGAAATATAAAAAATAATATTTTTCTTACCTTGTAGCTAAGAACAATTTATTTACGAGCACCAATATGTAGAACGCAGACAGGTACTGCTGGTACAGTAAAATAACCGTACCTTGCTAGTTACTTTATTTACACACCACCTTCCAGCATTTTGCTGTTTTTATATTGTTACAAAAATAAATTAGAAAAGTATTTTCAAAAATTATCAGTATATAGCATTGATCTTAATATATTTACATCCGAAATAAATAACAGAAACTTCAAAATCAGACAATACGTGCCCTGTAACCAAAGAGTAATCTTATAACTAGAACTGCAAGCAAGCAAAAGCAAGCAAGAGGTCGACACGTACGTAAGATTGTTCTAGGGATGTGAATAATCAAATATCGATATTACTAAAAATAAGAATGAAATAATTTTAACAAAAAATTTTTTTTGCGAATTTTACAAAGAAAGATATTTCTCAATATTTTAACAATAACACATGGACAACCTGCCAGCGTCGTGTCTGTATAAGGCAAAACAGTTTCATATTTGAGTTCAAATTTGTCATGTATTAACAATCCAGTATTATAGGCCTTTTCCTTTTTCTGCCGTAGGTTCTGCTCGGTTCATGGTATATCAAGCATCGTGTACGACAAAAATGTTTCAACCTCAATAAAACGTAAAACTATGTAAAAAATCTTAAGTCCCCCCGTGCGAAGCCGGGACGGGCCGCTATATATAAATAAAACGTAAAATTATGTAAAAAATCTTAAGTCCCCCCGTGCGAAGCCGGGACGGGCCGCTATTTTTAATATCGGTCGCATGCAAAAAATTAATGGAAACAAACTGCCATATATCTCAGCTATGGTGAATGTCAAAGTATCAACTCAAACTGCTATAAATTGAACTTGCAACTTTTTAATTAATTTGTTAAAAATATAGTAAATGAAATAGTTAATTCTATGTACAGCATTAAAATACGCTAAAATGATCAAATTACTGAACTTTGTTAACAGATAACATGAAATCTAGACATGATAGAAGATAGACATACACTTTCATCATAGATTGTACTCACTATGCTATGTTCTATGAAGAAAATACATTGTTTCACTTGTAACTATAAAAAATTTTTTTTTTTTGTTGACCAGTGTTATGGAAATATTTGGCGTGTTTTGGTTGGAGAAGAGGCTGTACCTATCTAGACAAACATAGTGTAACACACCCCCAGCTAGAGGAGTGACACCATTAGTGAAGTGGTTAATAGTAATTGGATGCATATCACTTAAATTTGACCTCAGAAGCGTGCCAATGGAGATTCTTATGTTGAGCGGAGGACGGGAACGGGCTGATGATCACGATAATGATAATAAGCACGTCGACGAGGTTTGATGGCGTGCGTAATTTATTCACCTGGTGACTTGGAATAAGTAATTCACATGAATGTTAGACTACAGGGAGTGTGAAAATAAATACGCTGTGTGTGTCAAATATTATTATATAGTCTATTTCAAATTAAGTGGAAGCTCGATACGTTTATGGAACTAGCTGCTCCTCAAAAAGATGGAACACATAGCATCGTAGAATAAAATTAATTATTTCTCCAGGGACGTTTGATTCTCCATTTTCCGTTATATATAATATAGAAATTATGCATACAGTACCCCACAATGTAGCCAAGCCAAACGATAAGACTTGATTTTATTAAAAAAAAACCACTATGGTTCTTATAATTTAAAGAATACACTGGTGGAACTGCTGTTACTACGAAATCAAATCCAGTTTATAGTTTTATCATACCAATGGATATGCCATAAAGATTATTTCATTCATTTAATAATCAATGAGTACCACTAAATTTATTCATGACAATTTTAGAATTTTTTTTAATTAAATTATTTATCTTCCTTTATTGTTCAGTATTTAAAATAGGAAAATATCCCTCCATTTTGTATTATCGTGTTAAGCGTATGCGACACCTAATATTGTAATTAGTCCTAATATCAAGATTTGTTATGTAGATTTTGATCATAATAAAGATTATTTAAATATTTGAATATAAATATCTAATAAAGTATATTACTTATGCATGAAAATACACATGATGTTGTCAAGGGCTACTCAAAATATCGATATTTTGCCTACATCAAATACAGTGCCACACTAAAGTGTTTCGTTATGTCGGATATAAAGTTCTTTTTTTTTAATATGGCCATAAATATTTAGTCTGGCAATTCTAATTTACTGTCAAAATTTTGGGTGGCATAATACACCTTGAAATCTTATGCATTGGCGGTAATATACAATTTTGAAAATTGAGATTATTGTTTATATTTATTTATATTACTATATTTTATTACTAATAAGTATAAGTAATATTATTATTGCATGTACCCTATAAATATCTAGAATTAGAATATCTGTAATAATTCTGGTGATTCGACCTAAAAGTAAATAAGGTATGGGGCGATATGAAGAAGATAAAATCATTTCTTGAAATAAAACTGTTGGCATTGTACTCAATTTTATATTTAAATATCTAATAATCTTTAAACACCAATTTGAGACAGTAATATAACGTGCTACAAAATGAACAAAATGGGATACAAAGGCGTCGGCCAAAGCGATACAGACAGCCAGTGGGTGGATAGAACACTATAATAATAAATAATTAAATAATTGTCCAATATTATTCTGTTTTTTTACTTGTATTCGAAAATTTCTAATTTCACCTGGCGAAACGTCAGATGCCCTTTTTATTCTAGCAATAAAATGTTATCTGAGGGTTTAGTACTAGTTTATTTTAGGTTTAACGAAGTCGAAACCTAAAACAAACTCGTACTAAGCCCTCTGTTGATTGAAAAATCAGAATGTATTTACCAAACTTGATATTATTATGGGACTTAATAGACCAAGGGTGTTTATTCAATAAAGCTGGCAACATTTCTAGTATATTGTTCTGATGTTCTGCCAAAGCCGGCCGATTATTGTGCGACTTGTGTACACTGTACATAACTTTATAATAAAGATCATTGCGGATCTTTCTATTTAGTTATTGTTTAATTATAAAAACTTAAATAAGTACAAGATTTTACATAAAACTTTTGTATTTAAAAATGATCGTATCCATGCCGCTACTAAAATTTAAAGATAAAATAACTATATTTTTTGTTGTTATACTTGTTCTTGGAAGTATTTATTTTTATTTAAACCATTTACAACAAAGTTACGATAGTGTTCAATGGTCTGGCGAACGATGTTTGTCTGAGCTGACATCAATTAAATATCAATTAAACGGTAAGCATACATTAATAAATAAATAATCAAGAATTTAACACTTGTGCAATTTGTCGAATTTCACTGCGAAACTTTTTGTACACAAAATAATCAATGATAAAAACAATAACAATCTCGATGCGATGCACTTGCCATTATGTTGCTTTGCTGAGAGCTGGAGCTGGCCTCTTCTCCTATGTATATATACATACATAACATGGTAGAAAGTACCTCTACAGTCTTTAACAAATTGATCTGTGTATCTAATATCTGTACTTAGTTAATATGTAATTCAAATGCTAAAGCTTGGAGGGAATTTGTGAACAAGTAATCTGTGTATTATTTAGTAGAGTTAGTAACAAAAATCTTGGGTGTATTGTGGGACTCATAAGATCAAAATAAGTTTTTTCATTCATGTGATGTGAGAGGAGCCACTTATTTGTTATAATTTTATATCTGGCCTTTGTCAGTCTTAGAACTTAGTTGCATATTCTAAAACATAAATTATTAAGAAGACAGTAGATAATTAAATTCAACATTTTTTTGAATCATAATTTAACCCATAGTATCGGATCCACATAAGATACAATGTATTTTCTATTGTATCTCAAAACCAGCATTCAAGAGTTTTATCATGTGAAAAATCATATTAAACTGTCAAACACCAAGCGGTCACCGGTCACCGCAACCTATTGTTCTATAATTGTGTCTACAAAACCGGTACTCGAGTTAAAATGTAATATTACATTTCATTTATTTTCATCATTTCTATTTACATTATTTTATGTACACAACACGAGTGTGGCTGTAAATGTGCTACTCATAATGAAATAAAACAATTCATAGATAAATCTAACACAGCCCAGAAAATACAATCAATTTTAACTGTCCCAATTAAGGCAGTTTTATAGAGATATTTGATAATAACATGATCCTCATATCTGCATAGAAACTTTCATACCAGTATTAATTAATTTAATTTTTGTTTTTTTTTTCTTTTTGTTATGAAATTACTTTTGTAAAATAACAATAAAAAATGCAGTGTAAACTTATTAGTTCTGTTGGAGTAATCATACTAAACTCAGTTTCTTTATTTTATTTATTTATTATTGCGCAGACCTCACCCTTTAATATTAACTCGTTGAGTACCGTCATTATAGACACAAATAAAGAACAATAGGTTGCGGTCACCGATCCGTTTTTGACAGTTTAAACCACATTTTTTTAAATAAACTTTGCTCCACACTAGGATTTTCTCATGTGTCATTGGTGCGTCTACAAATATATACAAATTTACATCACACCCAGACCCAGAAAAACATTAGGATAAATATTCTATGGATTATTATGGTTAGTTTTTGAGTCATTCATATTTGTTCTCTAAAGACAATAATATCATAAGACTTATGAGTCTAAAGAATTGTACGAGAAATATAAAGCTATTAAGAATAGCCAAACACAAACCAACATGGCCAGAGCATTTGACATCTTTGTCAAATGCTACTTTGCTCTGAACCTAGAAATCGAGTCTCGATTGCAACTACTATTAAAAAGGCAAACAAGAGGTATGTACTTACCTTTTTAAATTTAAATAGGTTAATTTTTTTTACAGTTGTAACAGAGTATAAAAACCGCATTGATAAGTTGCTGACGGAGACACAAAAAGCTCATGACATGGAAAAGGAAAGATTCAAAGATATTATGGACAGCTGTGTGGCTATGAAACAACAGAGCACAATATGTCAGGTAATGTTGTTACCCTTCTAAAGAACATTTTAGTATGCTATTATAATTTTAAAGCTGATTGCGATCTGCATTATCTAATTGAAATCTGTATGACTCAAAATTAATATGAAAACAAAATTATAAACTAAGTTATGAATCAATTGGTAGTTCCAAGGCCTGATTTCCTTCCGGAAGTAATAAAACTCAAACTTATTATTTATTTCAATTAAACCATAATTTGGTACTTTTGAAATGTCAACAAATATGAAATAAAAAATTGTCTGTCAGTCTGTCCATCAGTGAAGCTAGGCGCTCGTTCCAAAATGTGAATTCGAGTGGGAAGAACGAGCAAGAAACTCCATTTGTTACTCATTTAAAAAAAGGCTGTTTTACACTGCTCTGATAAATATTCCAATATTGTACACATGTGAGAATAAATTAAAGATATACCTGACGCATCATACAAATAACAGAATGTACTAAAACAAAAAACAAAACCAAGAGAAAACAAATATCTTAAGTCTTACATGGTCCTCACATATGTATAGTGACAATCCATATAAAATAGTGCTTCTATACAAGAAAAAAAAAATTTATTTTTCATCTCCATAAAATAATCAACTAGTTGATTAACTAGTAACTAAAGAAGTATAGTTGTTACCCAATGGAATTTAGGCAAACAAGCTAATCCACTTTAATTAGTATGGAATTTGACTAATTGTTGAAACTATATTAATGTAATCAGTATTATCACATCTGGTGTTGTGAATTTTAATGAATCAATTAGTTCTTTATGTTTCATTGTTATCAAAAACACTATCACCAATTTTTTCACTTGACTGTAACATACAAATAGTTAAATACATTTTAAAAATTCCCTAAATAGCCAAAATGACAATGTTTGATAAGGTAGACTTACTAAATACTTAAACTATAATATTTCCATGGTACTCCATGGTACTCCATTTATAATTTACCTGAGGAGTACTTTTTTCATAACAACTGTCTGTTCAAGACATATGTTTTTAAATACTTATCTTAACATTCCAGAGTCAATTTGAAGATCTACAAATTGAATGCAAAAAAGTCAGAGAAGATTACAACAAAGCAATCAAGGAGTTAGAAAAACTCAAATCGGCAGGCTAGAGGAGTTAGCTGAATCCGCCTTAATTGAGCCAAATTTTAAGTTATAATTATAGTATCAACAACTTTGAAATTATTGGTATATTTCTTCCATTTATATTAATATATAAATATTTAATTGTGGATCGATTAATTTGGTCATTTTGAATAACATACCATACATTATGAATATGAATAACATACCATACATATTACATTGCTCATTAAAGATATACATATGCTCTAAAATAGCACACTAAAAGGAGTCCTATTGAGCATGCTCTAAAATATTCAAAAATCGAACGCCTGTCGATTCGCAAGCATGCCTAAAATGAGTATGTTAATTTTGAGCGACATTCTTACACATGCTACTAAGTGCTCAATTGAAGCATGCTTTTGTGCTTGAAATTATCATTTCTAGCAGTATCTTAATGTTAAAGATGCTTTTAACCAAATGATTTTATAATGTGTAATGATCTATAACTGTGTTGTTTTTGTAAATGCTCTAGTAGCTAATTGTGTATCAACAAACATTAGGTCTTCTTGACATTTGACGTATTCGTTTTTAGGTAACTTTAGGATCGAGTTTCTGCATAAATTTTAAGGATGATGTTATAAAGGAATGTCTAAAAAAAAGTTTGTAAATTGAATTCCTTATGGAGGCATGTGTCGATAGAACATTATCATCTGTATATTTATTGCATTGTCAGCATGGGTAGGAGTAAGAGGATAGTTTAATACAAATTGTATATTATACTGTCCCAAGTGACTTGTAGAACTGATTGTCATTGTTAGTTATCACAATATTTTTAAGCACATATTAAGTTGGTAGTAAATGTAAGTATCTATGTATTTCTTTTTACAATTGAAAGTACAGATAGATGTATTTTATTGGTAAGCATAATTATTTAATATACCGCACATATTTGTAAAAGTTTAAAATATAACATTATGTAATGAAATTGTAGTACATGATTGTTTTATGTACATAATATGTACACGTTTTTAGTTAAACCGGGGTAAAGGAGACACCCTAAAATAGCAGCAAATTTTTAAACACACATACTGGATATCTGAACAGGAAGCAGGTTTGAACAGCTTCCAGTTTGCCACAAAATGAAGATATTACTATATTTTGTGTTGCTGTTACCAAAATTGAAACACCGCTATTTTTAAATTTAATATTATAAGATAGAGACAACTGAAAAATGTTTAAGCTTTGATTTTTGTGTAATTTGTTGACTTATTCTAAACATTAAAAAAATGTTCAGGGGTGACTTTTTTCCTCTATATGTTAATCATGGTTGTTTTATACGTCGTAGTTTAACTATGTAAAATAATATATTTTAAGTGTTCTTTGTAAGACCAAAGATCTAGATTTTTGTGTGAAATATGAGGAACAACCTTCATATTGGCTGAATGTTTTAAAATTTTATTTTTATATTATTTTTATGTGCTTCCACATTCCAAAAACGATTAACAGTATTTCATTGAATATATTCCTGATAATATTTAATCGTAAAAACCTCAACAGTATACAAACTAGTCAAATTCAGAATATAGATTGTTAAATTCATATTTTCTTCATAAATTTTCTTTTATAATTCTACACAGAGAAAATTAATCATTATTTTGTGTTATGTACAGTTTTGCTAAAAAGAAAACAAAAATTCAAATGCAATTTATTTATTGATGTGTATTATACATATTTTTGTGATAATAAATATTATTGGGCAGTAGTATTAATGTTTAACAATAATATTATGTTCACATTTTTTATTTACAATAATTCCTAGTTTTATTTTTCGATTCCCTTGTACTATTTTCTTCTAACTTTGTCCATATTTTTACGAACAGTGTACTCAAAGGCCGTCACAAATAATTATAATCTAATTAAATATAATTTTGTACATTAGATATTGTTATTACAATAAGTAATAGCAAAATTACTATTTTACAGCAGATCTTAAACATGCGCCATCTTTTGCCACTTTACTGAACCGTTAACAACACGTCACAATTTGTTTCTTAAAAGTAATTAACTGTAAGCGACAGATGGCGTTAAATGTCGTCAACGAATATTCAGAGGTCGTAATGGAAATAGCTACTATTCGAACGTTAGATAATGTTTGATAACCAGTTCAGAATCATTTATCCAACAAATTATATTTATCCTCTCTTATGAGGTTATTAATATATACAACTTAAAATATAAATAATTTAAAACTAAAATATATACACCTTAAAAATATAACATAAGGCATCAAAGAAAAAATTATCTTCATCGCTACCGTGAGGTAGGGTGCCCAAAAGACTGGCAGCATTGCCATGTTGAATGGCAATGCTTAACCTTTGCCCAAGGTAGTAGCCAGTCCTTCGATCACCTGGAGTGTCAACAATCTTCCTTACAATATCTTTGTAAAGATGTGCACTTGGGCCCCAAGGCCCTAAAGTTTCAACCCCAAACGGTTCGAAAGTATATTTGCCAATCAGGCTATTATACTTTCGCCGTTTGAGGTTCTCGGCAGCAGCAGCGGCAGGACCGACTCGACACGCTGAGCTTGGAAGATGGGATGGCGCCAGAGTATCAACGCAAGTGGCGTCCCATACTAAAGGCCTACCCATCTTCCAAGGGATGACATACCGTCGGGTTTCTTGCCATCGTCGCGTACTAAGCCGTTATGTTCTAAAGAAGCTGGCAAGAGCTCGACGAATTATGTCATTAATACTTGCGTATCGAGCAAAACGGCCCGCACTACGGCTACACGACAAGCCGTGGTGTCCAAGGCTGTTGACATCTTCACCACAACGACAACGATGAGGTGAACAAAATGAAGCCCCAAGCCTTAAACAAATTGCAGCGCGGAATGTGGTGGCGAAGTGACGAAGGCAAAGCAAGAAGCCATAACCCCGACTCCCACTCACCCACAGCCAATAGGCGAGCTCGCTCTGCAGTTGAACAAGCGGAGTTCAAGAGATTTTCGTTCATTTTTCTGCAGAGCGGCTCGTCCCATTGTCTCTGGGAGAGTAATTTGACCGGGGGGGGGTCCAATATTTAGGCAAGCGATTTTCCAAGCATTCACAGTTTCCACTAAACATGGTACATGAAAATTAACCAGTGATTGAGAAAGAATTTTCCTGGTTAATTCCTCAGTACCCACCATGGGCGGAAGATATGAAAGCCGGTAGGCTTACACTGGAAATTTTACGGACGCCAAGCCCACCCATGCGGACAGGCAAAGTAGCCTGTGCCCAAGCTCGGTCATCAAGAGCCACATTCATAAAAGTTCGCCTAATGATTTGGTAAATTTTTTCCAAAAGTAGGGGTGCAGACCAGAGGTGGGTCGAGCGCAAATAGTAGGTAGGTACATAAATTTGGGACCAAAGCAACAAAATCGAATAATAGTGTAAGCCCAATGCATTCTAATGTGCTATAGTTTTTCTGAAACGACAGAAAAAATTTGAATCCTTGGTTATCCTTGGTTTTAATCTAATTACGACTTGGGTATCTTTAAGTCCCAACTCGGGATCGTCCAGTCACTGGATGATCTCGAGTCGAAATACCCGAATAGGTTGCTCATAGGTTGGGGTGTTTCATCGTCGGCCACAACATTGCTTACCACCATGGTGGTCAAACGCTATCATAGAAATTATAATAAAATATTAATAACATGCTTTTATGTAGCTTGGCATTTTATGGTCATGCAAATTTTTTTTTTCTAAACGTAAACATCAGCTCAATCGTTTAAACTGTTGAACGTATCTGTTAAAAATGTAAGTGTAAAATTCCACTTCACAGTTCACACACATTATTTATTTATTTATTTCAACATTTACAGCTAAAATTACAGGTAAAATTATATAACCTAATGCGTTAGTAATTATGCAGGAAATAATAATAATAAACTTTATTCATAACTAAATGCTAACTAACTACAATGCCCTCACAATGTTAAAGATACTTTGCCAGTTAAGCAAAAGCTGGTAAAAAAATAACAATAAAAATAAATTAGTGGATTACGTTGATCCGTCGAAATTTATATTATAGTCTACCCCTATTCTGTTATACCACCTACTTAATGCACAATTACCTGCAGGATAATGAATAGTTGCGGAGCTGCGCAAGACTTAACGGGTTGCCGGGGCTCCGGCTCAAAAAGCAGAAGTACCTACTTAAGTAGATTTTAGTCAGTAAGAGTCTGACACTCCCTGACGCCTCACCCAAGGTAGGAGAAGTCAAGGTAGGACATAATCAATATCGGTTAATGAATAGACTAGTAGACTTGAAGCATAAGCATCTACAAAATAAGCCGTCGGTCGTAGGACCGGTCGGAGGATCCTACCAACTCTATTTTTTGATGGAATTAGTTGGTTAAACGTGCAAAGAGCTCGTGTTACACTAGGACACGGCGTCAACTTCGCACACTGTCACCATGCTGTGTAAGTACACGACGGCGTCGCTGAAGCATCACCGCCGCCACCTGCTACGTGCGCTTGATTTTTACACATTACCATGCAACATTACAATGTTCTTTAGTGAGATGTGATCCACAATATTTGTTCCTCTAGCAACAATATTGCCGACGATTGCTGCGAGTGAATAATGAGTAGACAGACAATGTGGCTAAACAAGATATCCTCGCTGATTTCCAGATGATGTCATGTTGCGTGTAATGTGGAGACGAGGTTTTTAGGTGCTCTTTGGGCAGACTAGAATTAATTTTAGTAAGTCCAAATAAATTGTCCACGTAAACATTTTTTTGTGTTGGATATAAGAAAAGATGTAGGTATTTGTACTTACCTATACCATTTTAGAATCCTTAATTAATGCGTCAACTTTGGTGAAATGTGCCACTACTATATATGGTGAAATGTACATTTTTTTCAGTACAATCTCTTAAATTAAGGTGATAGGTTTAGGCATTGAGAATACTTGCTTCGTCAGAAATTATATTCATTTCAAAACTAAAGCAGTTAGTTGGCTCAAAATTTATAATTCCGTAACATTGAAGCAGTGTTCAGATAACGTTAACGAAAATACAGAAAAAAATATATAAATAATTGTAGCAGCAAGACTCAAATGACTGGCACAGGGTGTAGGTACTTTATCGTGGATGACACATAAGTCGGAATTAAAATAAAGTTGAAATTAAAAAACTATATGACTTGGAATTATCTTTATATTTTACTGATAACTGTTGGACCCTTGCCGATCACCTGGTCCCAATTGATTGTCGACTACAGAGACACTCTGTATATGGCAGTAAAGCATTGAAAGCATCGAGAGGATCTTCGATAAGTAGTAGGTATTTTGAGTGCAGGATTTATGGTTCTAGATTCAAAGAGTATAATAAAGTATGGGAATCTAGATTTCAGTTAGATGACAAGTTGGATTGACAATGTTGACATGGAGTGAAAAAAAAGTCGTCCGACGATTTTCTAGTAGGTAGTGGCCGCTACCACAGATTACTTAATAGTTACTACGTGAATGTAATAGATGTATGAGGATTTAGGATGTTACTAACATTTGTGGCACCCAATATTCAAAAATATCCTAGATAAACCGGGTTCCAAAAACTTTATAAAATATATTATTATTTTATGTCCTCCGTTGTCCAGAACAAATTATACCGGAACCCGGGATGTCTGGGAAATTTTAAAAATTGGATTCCACTATACCAATACTACTTACCTAATTCAAATTCAAACATTTTATTGCATTCAAACATTTTATTCATATGTAAGTACATACTTACCTACATTGGGTTTAACATATCTAATTGGGTAGAAACAGTGTGAATTTGAAACCCGCCTTGGGCACGGCTGCATAATTATGACATGAAAAAGAATAGAATCTAATTAAATTAGGAACTTAATTTATTAACCTACTTGGAAATCAAATTGACAGCTTCGTTGGCCGAGTGCTCGCAAGGGCGACTGTCGGGCAAGAGGTCTCGGGTTCGATTCCCGTGTCGGGCAAAGATTATTGGGTTTTAAAAAAAATCTCAGTAATAGGACGGAGTCTGGAATTGTGCCCGGTGTATGGCAATAGGCTCACCCGCTATTATATGGGACTCATAACATAAATTGTGAAAAGTGGGTGTTACATTGTAAGTACAATGGCCTAAAGTGCACCTCTGCCTACCCCTTCGGGCCTTCGGGGATAAAATGCATGATGTTATGTTAGAATCAATTGAAGTTATGAAATTGAAGTGGAGAAAATATTTAATCACTGTAATTTAATCCTCCATAACGACGGAATTATATTGTGGGCATTGTTGTGGACATGGAGGCTTCCATATAAAATAAGCATCGGTACACCTCCAACCTTCCTGCAGTCTACAGTATGTAGGTAGGAACAAGGTAGGTTTTGTTTTCAGTGTGCCGTCTCATCACCATAAGGTCTTGTTTACGGAGATGCGGCGCGATAAGCGACGCGTGACGCGTTTGTCGTACATTGCAGTAGCGGGCCGAGTCATCGCACGCGCAATTACAATCATATGGCAATGTACGACGAACGCGCAACGCGTCGCTCATCGCGCCGCGTCTCCGCAAATAAGCCCTAAGAGGTTATCATTAGGAAACTTTTTCCTAAAGAAGAATAGGTTCCAAATTAAAAAAATACGAAAACTTTTGGGTACCTATACGCTTCTTTAGTTTAATGACACTTATTTGTTGATTTTAACTCGATTATTTGAAACGCTACTGAGATTATTTGAATTGAAAAAATATTCCCGATATGTGAGCTTCAGTAAAAAAAGTCCGTTGAAGGGACGATCAGTAATTAATTAGGTACGTGTGACATATGAAACGCTACCGTCTGTCCTTCTAACACATTTCTCCATAAATTATAGTAGACAAAACAATATTTTCTTTCGTTTCGGTAGTCCTTAGTGCTTACTACTTAGAGTATCTTATGCAGTATCAATCTTCATTCGAAATTTGGGATAGATGATTAGAGCGAGATATTTTTTAGTAGATACTGGCAGACTGCCTGTCGCCCACACCGGATGTGAGCTGCTCAGACCTTTTGGACTCTAGACATTAATGTACAACTATTTCAGCAGGGGAGCACTCATATTCAGTCTATAAAAAAGTTTAAACTTTTTGTTATAACCAAAACGGAAAAGAAGCAAAAAGCATCATAATGTTTGATGTTTTTTAAAAACACATAACATATGTAGTTAACCTGAAATTGTAGGTAGGTACTTAGAAAAGTTTTATCCAGGTACAATTACCTGATGGGCGAAAATCATTCAATGACTTTTACTACCTACTAACTAAAAACCACCCCGTTATTACTCTTGCTCTTCAAGCTGGAGCCCCGGCAACCCGTTAGGCCTCCGTCTTTGGGCTCGCTGCCATTGCAGCGGTAAGACCCCTCTTTGAGGAGTGGCTTGAGACACGCTACGGCGTCCTCACCTACCGCCTGACGCAGGTCCTCACCGGACATGGAAGTTTCGGGAGGTACCTGTGTCTGATGGGGCGGGAGGAAACGCCCGGGTGTCATCACTGCGAGGACCGCCCTGAGGACACGGTGGAACATAAGGTGGGAGAATGCCCTGCGTGGGCTGAGCACCACCGTGCCCTCAGGGAAGTGATCGGCGATGGCGACCTCTCGCGTCCGGCCCTAGTGCAGGCCATGATGCGGAGCGAGGGGGACTGGGATGCCGTTTCCTTCTTTTGCGAAGCAGTCATGCTAGTTAAGGAGGAGGCGGGACGCGTGAGGCACCGAAGTGCCTCAGACCCATGAGACCACCACATACCACATATGGGGCCCAATAGGGCCGATGCCGATTCGGAGTCGCGGAGAACCTAACGGGCAACCGGGGCTCCGGCTCGACGTGCAGGAGAAGGAACGAGGCGGTTTTTGGTCAGTAAGAGTGTGTTCGATGATTCCCCCCCCCCCTAAAAAAACAAGGCCTCCGTCTTCGGTACAATTACCTAAGTTTGAATATTTCCCTTAAAACTAGAATTTAAACGTTAGGTTCACTCAATATAGGCATAAACTAAGTACCTAATAGCCAATAAATATTTTAAACATTTTGTCTAATAACCTATCCTACTATAATCCTGACAATAGACTCTTAAAATCAATTCATTCAATAGGTAGGTTCCTACTACCTAAATACATTATTAATTTCATTCACAACTTCACAAGCCCGTGAAAAGATTTCAAAGAAAAATAACGACGTTCCCAATCTCATCTTTAAATATTCTGGTAAATTTTCTATTTTAGATTTTCCTCAATGTTTTATAGCATTACACATTTTCCGGGGTGCGAGTGGGACGTGAAACACAATTAATCCATTTTGAATTTACTCACTGCAGTTACCCTCGAGGTTCAATTAAAATGTAAATGGGTGTCGCCGGGGCGGGCTGTGACTGGGAACACGCGCCTTATCGTAACACACCAGCAGCCGTCAGGCGCCACCGCCACTACGACATGATGGGAATTCGTATTTCACTACCTATAGGTAGCACAAGGTAGCTCGCCCCATTAGCATATTGAAAGCAATTCCATTTTATTTCTATGAATTGTTCTTTACATCAAAACGTTTTTTTGTTTCATTTATTTTGCAAGGAGGCAGTCAACCTGTCATGTATTTATTTACTTACCTACATAATTTGAGCACATAGAGCATTCTTATTGTATTTGTAGCACAGGTAGGTAGGTTTAGGCACCTGGAACTTGTTCACTGCCAATACTTATTAAAAGCTACGTTCACCTATATTTTATTTAAGTACTACCTACGTTATTTAGTTAGGGGGACAGGTATTGTGAGTTAAAGATAGATGAATAAGATAGAAACTACCCATAAGTATGATATTTTAAAAGCCTCTACTTAAATTTTTAACATAGGAACCTACTTATTATCTAACTAGAACATACTTTGCTAAGTGGTTAGGTACCCAATATATCAGATATTAGATTCAATTGAAATGTTTTCCTATTAAAATCTTTCTAACATTTTTGGACAGATCTGTAAAGTGAAAGCTAAAAGTATTATTTTTTGTTTTATACTGGGGTCATAAAATTGTGCAGAATGCCGGAAGTCAGGCCCAAATCAATAATGTTTGCTAGAGTGGGATAGCGTGTATGATAGAGTTGGAAGGGGCGCGGTCGCCCCGCCTCCTCGTCCTCGTGAGCTCTTTAGCAACCCCTGTAGCCTGGAACCACAATTTATTGTTCTCAAAAACTCAATTTAGATAAGTAGATATAAAATATTGCTTAACCTCTAGAAAAGTCGAAGCGGCTTACGATACTCCGATCGCAGCATAAAAGTATCTACCTATAGTAGGTACCTTTAGTATACCTAATATCGTAAGTAAAACTATCTAATGTAATGACAGAGACTTACCATTTTACTTGCCTGTTTTTAATGAAGATTTTTGAACCTAGGATATAAAACAAGTATTTACATATTGAATACTGAGTATGGAGTCCATTGTCAATTTTAATTTGTGACATAGGTGAGTACCTACATAAGTTCTTTTGTCTATTTGTAACAAACAGTTACGGTCTTATTAATAAAAATCTCCTATTCCAAACTTATTCACAGATTAGTCTTGGACTAGCTAATCCCGGACTAACAAAGTATTAACTTCAGAATTGAATTCCTATTAATAAACATGGAATAACCTCGGAATAACAATACTATCCTTACACTAGGTTTAATCCGTTTATTATGGTAACCCAGAAATATTAAAAGTAAAAAGACTGAGAAGGAGGTATAAAATCGTATGAAACCTATGAAATCACTGCTTTATTGACAGATGTATGTTAGCTTGACATCTTGACAAATAGCTGTCGCTGTCAGTTTTGTTTAAAAACGTTCGTCGAAATATTATTAATTTCTTATAATAATAATATAAATAACGAAAAACCAGCGAAAAGCACAGCCGCGCTATTAACTAGCGCAAAGAATAAAAGGTAAATACTTCCGATGCCTGTTAATTATGGCGTATCTTAACAAAGAAAAAATGTCTTCATATTGTTTATATATTTTTAGATTTCAGCCATAAAATTATAACGCCTCGGTTCCTAAATAATATTTTCAAATCATTGAAAATAAATCGTTAAGCACAAACACCAACACAATTAAGATGAAAGAGTGGGAGTAAATATTATACATACCTATACAAAGTAAGATTTTTTCAGCATTTTTATTTTATTCCATTTGTTCAGATCAAATTTGTTCAGAGATAATAAGATCAAGCATGCAGCTGAATATGTAGGCAGTGTGTATTATGTTAACCTATAGTATCTGAATCACATAATGCTGTAGTTATTTGGCTAAAAATTTTATCATATTTACATTCATTTTATGTATTTTTTAGGTTTATCGAGTTGTATAGCAGACGTGATTTAAGTCAGCTGAAAATTCAGTAGCAGCCATGAAGATCAATGCTTGAAAACAAAAAGCTAATACAACAGGCCACTTGGATTGATATTTACCTCTCCTCGGGCCTATATTCCGATTGCACTCAAAACTTTCAAATATGGTGGTATAAAGCCACCTCTTGCGTCACCAGCTAGACTATTTTTAACCATGTTAATAATAAAAACTGCAGTAAATCGGTATTTTGATTTCTCTTCTTCTTCACGTTTCTCTATTCTACTAATATTATATAAATACGAAAGATTGGATGTTTGTGACTTCTTCACATCAAAACGGCTGAAGGGATCGAGATGAAAATCGATACATATAGACCCCTATTATGGTCTGGAACTCTAAAATGACACGAAGGCTTTTTATTCCACGAAAAGCTAGTCCTACACACTTCTATACTCGAAGTCGATTTTCAACCTCATCAACTCTCTCAATAACTCGAGATGTTGAATAAAATAATATTTATCCATTTTACCACGTTTTACAATGATAGAATGACTTTTTATTTATAAAAAGTTGTTGCGTTTTTACGTAAAAATCGAATCCATACTAATATTATAAATGAGAAAGTGTGTGTGTCTGTTTGTTTGTTCGTCTTCCGCGACAAAACAAAGCGAATTGACGTGTTTTTAAGTTGAGATAAGTATTTGAAGAGATAGAAAGTGAGATGGGCTACTTTCTGTCTCTTTCTAGCCCCCTACTTCCTTAAAATGGTGGGTTTATAAGCGTTTCACAATTTTCAAATAAGAAAGATTAAAATTGGTATTTTGACTATTTGTGACTAACAAAAAACTTCGTGGCTTCATTTTTATGCAAATCTTACCCCAACTCCATAAAAGAACACGAGCGAAACCGTGGACAAAAGCTAGTATAGTTTTTTTTTTTTTTTTTTTTTAAAAAACGTTGCCCCACACTAGGATTTTCTCCTGTGTCATAGGTGCGTTTACAAACATACAATATCACATACACATCACACCCAGACCCGAAACAACAATTTGTGGATCACACAAAGTGTTGTTCCGTGCGGGAATCGAACCCGCGACACGTTGCACGGCAGCCGGTTGCCCAGCCACCACACCAACCGTGCAGTCATATAGTTGTACTCATAATCTGCACTAATATTATAAATAAGAAAGATAATAGTTCTATCCCAGAAATCCCACGGGAAAGGACCTATGCTTTAATATTCCGGGACTCTATCATTTAAACCACTGAACCTATTTTATTGAAATTCAGTACAACAGTGGTTTGCAACCCGGGAAAGGACATTGAATAATTTTTCTTACTAATAACTCACGGGAATGTACACTACACAGATAAAACCTATGTGCGAATGCTTATTATTTGAAATCACGAAAAATTATTCATTTTACAATAAATATAACAAGTACCGAATCGATTTTGATGAGATTTGTTAAAACGCATTAGAATTAATCTCGGAAAAGACTTATTTAAAAACACATTCACACACACACATTCTGCCAGAAGGCATTATAATACGCGAACGAAGTCGTGGGGTATAGCTAGTCTTGTACCTGTATACTTCTTAGTAATGCCGCAACGCAAGGAAATAGGTTATAATAAAATAGGTTTTATCTGATAATGCCGCACACCACTCGATACTGGTCATCAAAACCATATTGGAAACTCGGTTGTCAATAAAGAAGAAAAAAATATCTATCAACAAAATGTCAAAATGACACTAATCCAAGCTTACACCGTCGCTAAACCATGTGGCACCATGGACTAACTTTTATTCTCAGACTAACGTTGGAATAGCTTAGTCCGACGTTACTCCTTATTTATTAATACCGAATTTGACTATTCTGAGCCTAAACCATGGAGTAAAGTTATTCTTACTCTATTCTATGTTTATTAATAAGAGGGTTAGTGTCGTAGTTGCCGAATTTACGTAATGACGTTTGTAATTGGCGTTTTGATTGGAGTAGTCTTTTTTTAAGGTTGGTAAATCATCGACTGGCTTCTTCCGCCTGAGTGAGGTGGGAGGGTTTGTCAGACTCTTACAGACTAAAACCCGGCCCGTTCCTACTCCTATCCTTCGAGCTGGAGTCCCGGTAACCCGTCAAGTCCTCCGCCGCTCCATTGTGATTGGAGTTGATAGGCGAATACCTATATACTGTTGTACTGGTTCGGTATGGTTATTTAATAAATATAATATAGGTAAGGAGGATATGAGGATAAATTGCATTACCTATGTAAGCATAGGTAAAATAAAGAGAATCTCTTAAATGTTTGTGATCTTTTTTAATTTATGTAGGTATAGTGCTTTGTCTCACAGAGACAATATCGGCCAGTGCCGTCAACGTCAAGATCACATTATTTAGTAACACCCCCGTTTAGGTATATCTAGGGTCTAACTAAACATAAATTTATACAAAATTATTGCCCTAATAGAAATTGGACAAACAAGGATACTGTCTGTTTGGATTTCAATAGATAAAAAAGTCATTCATTTTCCTTGCTTCTTCTTGATGCCTCTCTTATTGTCAGGACGAAAATATTTGAGAACATTCTGATGTAGTTCAGAAGTCACCGAGGTACCTTTTTTTTGAGGAGGGATGATCATCCAATGACATCTCCCGCCCGGGTGAGGCGGGAGGGAGTGTAAGACTCTAACTGATTGAAAACCACCCCGTTCCTACTCCTGCACTTCGAGCCAGAGCCCCGGCAACCCGTTAAGTCTTCCGCGGCTCCGTATCGGCATCAGCCCTGTTGGGCCCCATCTGTGGTTTCTTTCAACTGTGTGTTTGTTACTTATATAGGTACCTAAGTGAAATGAAATAACATAAATGTCTGCATTGCACCTGTATTTGTATTGCATGATGTCTAAACAAATTGATATAAGGTTTGGTCGCGGAGAACCTAACGGGTAACCGGGGCTCCGGCTCGACGTGCAGGAGAAGGAACGAGGTGGTTTTTAGTCAGTAAGAGTCTGACACTCCCTCCCGCCTCACCCAGGCGGGAGCAGTAATTCGAAGATATTCCCCCTTAAAAAAAACAACAAAACTCCCTGTTTTGGTGGTTTTTTTTTTGACCAATGAACAAGCGTTTGTCTTATCTATCAACGAAACCTAAAACGTGCATTTGTTTGATTTAATGTCGTGTTAAAATATTTCTTATTTCCGCAGTATAAAACTGAAATTAATGACAAATTATTAGATACGAAGTGATTATTTGATAACTGTTTATTATGCCGTATTTCTATTTAGTGCTGCGCTACGCTACGACCTACAAGCCGACGCCAACGATTAACAAAATAGTTTTAAATTGTCCAACATTGGTACGTACCTAAATTACTATAATTTTGTGTGTATTTACCGTCCTACTCACCTAATTTCAACTGTGAAAAAGGATGATTTCGGTGTAATTTTCGTTCAGAGACTTTAATTTAGTAACCAGGTACTACCTACTGACGAAGATAATTTGTAGATGTACTAAATACTGCTCTGAACATGTCTACTGTGTCAAATATTGTTGAATTTAATGTATGTATCTATATGTGTGTCTAAAGATAGAAAACTTCATAGATCTATCTACCTTATTAGATATTTTCGTAAAAACGCAAACGCATGAACTAAGTCTGTTGCCAGCTAAAATAAAAACCCTCGAATAAAATGCAAACTCAGTGAGTTTTATGGAGCACGAATGGAATTCGGTTACATCAATAGGTATGTTCACACTCATAAAATCCAGATTGTAGTTAAAACGCATGTTTTTCCGAAAGCACTTATTTAAACTGAATATAGCCGAAGCCGAACGCTAGCCCCGCACTATTTATGAGACGCAAAGTATATAAATAAGCGGCGATGTTTTGTTATCGAATTAGTGGACGATAGCACTTGAAATGTTTCTGTTGTTCTACTTGTTTGTTTTCTACATTTTTAGTAAGTCTTGTCTTATTTCTTTTAATCAGTTAGGTATACCTATAATTACCTTTTTTATTATTGGGGCATAATACCTATACATAAGGCGCCTAGCTTTTTGGGGATAAAAGCCTTGGGAGTGTGGGACTACAAACGTGTCAAGTAGACAAATATTTAAAGGTTTTTAGCCAGGTTTTGTAGCAGGTACATACTTAGGTATCTATTTTTTATGGAATAGGGCGGCAAATGAGCATGATGTATCTGAAAGTAAGCAATCGGTGCCGCCTTACATAGAAATAGTCGTTACCTAGACAGGCCAATTGACTAGTATCAGTCCTTGAAAACACAATTTAATTACTTATGTAATTTATGATTATTAAGAACAGGAATAAGTAATGTTACAAGTGTAACTGTGACTATCGCAGTTCTTAAATACAGCGTGGTGTTAGAAAGGTGGATAGACAGACAGACAGGGAACAGCGACTTGGTAACGAGGTCTCGTTTTTACCCTTAGGTAAGAATGCTAAAAAAACAAATATATGATTCTTTTCTTACTCATTCATCTTAAGATTGGAATCATATCTACTAAAATATGTTTTGGTTAAACATAGGATATAACGCAAACAAGTATTCTATTATAGAGAGCTATACCTAGATACTAACTATAAGTATATACGGAATATAGGAACTTTATGATGGATCTATGAACTATTACGATGAAGCATTGGAAGTCAGATGTGTATGTGACATCTGACTTTAAATGTGTGGTTCACGGGTTCACGAGCCGCTCGCGAGCTGCTTGGGAATAGTCGGGTACTGATTGAGCTGCCTCGCCTGGCAGCCACAGGGGATTGCTGCGGGACGATCGTCGTACTAGGCAGTCTCGGAGTGTAAGTATAATTAATTATTCGATCGAGGCAGCCTTTGAAAAAACAAAACACTCACAACACTCGACGCTCTCCGATCCGTGGCATGCCCGCGCGAGTCGTCATGTACGTTTGGCTCGGGTGAGACACGTCCCAACTGGCCGAGCATTTGCTTCGCGAGGCTGCCCGATCAGTCAGTCGCGGCTAATGATGCGACAGAATCGCATTTGCATGAAAGTTTTATTAAGTTTTTGTCTTTTTTCTTATAGTAGCATCGAATCCATGTTGTTCTCAATACACAACTATAACAATAAAAAACATCAGAGAAAAATTTACAAGTATGATGAGGGAACTTGTGCTTGATGTCGTGGTGAAAGTGAACCAGCTTGAAGCACTTAAGGGAGATGTTGAAAAAGAAGATGCTTTTAAACTGGGACATCTTAAATATGAAATCGATCACAGGACTAGAAGAATGTTAATATTATACAGCCACACAGACCGCCTAGCTGAAAAACATTTAAAAAATAGACTGGTATGTATTTGGAAATCTATGTACCTACCTAATGTTAAAAATAATTAGGTGGTATCAGTAAACCTTACGGTAGTACAATTGTTATACAAAATCCTGTGGCGACCTCGCGTTCCACCGGTCGTTTTCCGTGTGCATGCGAATATCGCCTAATGATAAATAATTGGCCACTAATTTTGTCGATAATACTTAAATGTAGCATAATATCATCATATATCATCATAGTTCAAAAATTGAATATGTTTGTCCATAATAATAACATTAATAATGTAAGTAATAATAAGAACATTCTACCAGAACCTATGCGCGATACATGAACCAACTAAGCAGTTTCTTAATTTTGAACTTTTCTTTCAAATTGTTGTTTAGATTTTGGGTGTCATGTCATGTGTATGTGAACTTGTAGGTATGTTTGAAAATGTATCCACGATACAGTACAGGAGCAAATTCCAGTATGTGCCCAAGGAAAATTCTAGTGTGTGTGAAACGTACCAAAAAGGCCCCGAATTATTGTAAGCTTAATTGCCCCAGCGTAGTCTAAGACGGCCCTGAGAGTACCTACTATTAATTTATCTCAAATAAAAAACTAATATTTTTTGTTATTATTATTTCCGCAATTAAAAACCCCGGTTTACTCACGAGAAATAGTGAGTAAGCTCAACTAGTTTCGAGTCACAGAGGGACTCTTCTTCATGAGCGCAGCTTACGTACCTACTCACTACAATAATAGTAGAGCTTTCCTCATTATTAACGTGAGTAAACTGGTGTTTTAAATTAAACTGTCAAACACCAAGCGGTCACCGGTGACCGCAACCTATTGTTCTATAATTGTGTCTATAATGACGGTACTCGACGAGTTAATTACTTTCACAATTGTAGGTTACATTATTAGTTAAACAGGATTGAAGTAACGTCTCTTTGCTTTGTTCCAGTGTTTCACGGAATTGGTGGATATGGACAATTTGTATCACGAAGCGATTACTTTTATTGATATGATGAAAATGGTCTTGGGGATGGACAACCTCGCACCGAGCAAACCGGTATTCCGATCAGGTTTATCACAGCAAATGTGGCAACGAGTGGTGGATGAGAAGGAAAACAACCCCGTACCATCTACTTCACCACCGCCAGTGAAGGCACCTTCGGGAAAACGAAGTAATGGTGCTTGGAATTATGCTCCCGAGCCCAATGAAAACTTATTCAAGTAATATCTATAGTAGATAAGAACGCATTAGTAGATAACAGAGAGGATAAGATTTTATAATTGATTAAGAAAGCTATGTTTCATTATGTGACTGGCCAAAAATATTATAGTAGTGTCGTCTGATTATTCAGAACTCTTTGACCCTATCCTTTTTTTTTAGGAGAAGGTCGAGGAAATATTTATAGGTAGCGATAAGTTCTTTTAAGTAATTATTTACATAATTATGTTACTTGAGCTTGTGCTGTTTGGTTGTGAATTTGCATAAGTACTCAATAATACTAACTACTCATAAGTACTACGTACAATTTATATATTAATATCTAGATAGAGAATTTTAAAATCAGAGCATTTATTTCAATTAATCATTGATTAGGCAATTTTTAAACGTCGAATTGAATTTAGAATAAAAAGAACCTAATAAGATATTGTATGGTACAATATCTTTGCAATGCCAATGAATTAAATATTAAATGTCATTGCGTTACATGCCCATTGTTTTCATCTTTTCAGCCATTTATCAAGGAAGTATAGGCTATAAATCATCACGTTACGATCAATAGGCGCCAAGCAGAGTGAATGACACTTTCGAAGTAGCTAGTCTAGAATAATGTGCAATACACCAGCGGTTCACAAACTTTTTACCCCTTGTTGTGCTAAAAATATTGGTGGCACACAAATTCCTAAGTTCAAAATGCAGAAATTGAGCAAGTTCCCTCTTTAAGAAGTAGCTTGACAGACGCTACGGCGCCTCATCTACGGGTGCTTAGATACAGAAACAGGTTTCCGGTACAGACAAATTTGTACGGGTCGGTACCGATTGGCGCAGGTATATTATTTCAAGGTTCACTCACTTAAAAAGAAACAGGCTATAACTTGTCGTTGCTGACTACCTAGACTGAATCATACGGGTTTCAGCATTTACTGGTTCAGGGTGACTTACTTGACTTAAAGTTATCTATGTCCCCTAGATGGGGCAGAGGGCGTCCACAGAGGTCCTCCATCTTGAGAGCATCTCGCTTCACTTTATCACTCAGGCTCACTGCACATTTCGATGCTCGCCGCTTCTGCTATCACTGGTTTAGGGTGCGTGTTTAATAATATTGTAAATGGATTTAGATAATGAGGTTTTAATAGACTTAGTGTTAGATAAACAATGTTTATGGGACAATAGGTACTCTAACGCCCGACTCGCGCATTTTGCTCCATGTTACTTATTAATCAACCATTATCTTTACCTACTAAGAAAAATGTATGAAATAAATGGTTTATAGCAAAATATTTCTTTTTATTCATATTTTAAGGGTTATTTGAGTTAAGTATAAATCCATAGACAAGGATGTATTTTTTTCGAGATGAGTGTTTCGGTATTCGTTTGTTCACTGCCTATTAGATTCGTATTCGGTGCAACGCATCGGTCAAAATCCTGTCGATGCATAAAAAAAATTATATGGAGGTAGTACCTACTTAAATAGGCAATTTTGGATACTATCAAGTACTAAATTATAAAAGTTACAGTATCTACATTACTTTTATGCGATCCACCATTCATTATTGCTTGGAAATTAATCTGATTACGTCTGTTAGTTTACGAAAGCATGCAATGTTTACAGAGTGTATTCAAGCACTTCAAGGCTGAAGGAAACAAAAGCACTTAAACAGCTTTATGCCATTTTCGCCTGTATGCATCGGACCAACTAAAAACGGAACGCGAGGATACATTGGTTTACTTTTGGTTAAGAATTTGTTATTGTAAGCCATATGGGCGCAGGGCGGTGGGGTTTTTTCTGTTACGACGAATCTGAGGCCATCGTTAAACAATGGGACACATGCTTGCTATATGAGTACGTTCGTACATCTGTGAAGGAACGTCCCCAGACCTGGCCATTGTCAAGCTTTGACCAAACCTTTCGTAGCAATGACGAATACTGCGAAACTATAATATCTATCCTCCTCGGGAATTTAGGGCTACACGTTTGCTGCTTGGGTGCCCGACCACTGCAACATGTTGTATATTCCTAAATAGTTCGTACAATAATGTTCCATGTTAACTTGATATCTAGATACGTTCAGCGAGTCATAATAGTCTTTTCTAATAGCCAAAGTCTTAAAATAATTGTAATATCACTGAAAGTTAAATGCATTAATTCCTTTTTTTTTGTGAAGGTAAGACATATTATACACCACAAAACCTGAAAACCATTTAACAATAAATGCTTACAGACTAAAATATATAGATACTGGAATATTTCACGATCAATATCTGAATATATTATTGGTGGCCATCTCGTAACTTGTCTTATTTAGGAAGACTTCCGTTTATAATCTTCTTTCTGGAGAAATAAAGTAGGTATAATCCTTACCGAGCTGCGTAATACCGGCAACTTATGCCGAGGTCGATGAATATCGAATTATGAACATCGAGAGGCAACTTGGAGTGGAGCCCGGGGTCATCTCGACTTAGCTGCAAATCTTCCAATCGACTTAGCGACTTATCAATCGATATCTACGCTACTGAGAACATTCTTACAGTTTGAATAGACTGTAGTACCTAGAGCTGCCATCTGGTAGGTATTCTTCTGAACAATCTTCTTCTGATATTAATTATGATGAGGATGTTTTAGAGATTTACCTACTGATTTTGCTATTTACTCCTTTTCGTAGAGTTTTCATAAAGTCATGTCTGCTTGTCTATACATATAACGTGAATAAAGTAGTAGGTAGGTGTGCATCACACACATCAAAAGGTTTAAAATATTTTATTATTAATAGTAAAATAATACTGATTCATTAAGTAACATTTAACATAACAAAATTATGAAACCAACAATTTATTACATTACACGTTTCTGTGTATTCAGTTTAAATTGAAAATAAATTTCATTAAATATATTCAGATACAACAAAATTGTGAACGCAGTGTGGGTTGTATTCCAGTGACAAAGCTACATTGTGGCCGAATGAAAATCTACATTGTAGTGCACGAATAGGGTTGATATTTGATTGTGATTGGGTAGTTGGATACTAAAGCCACTCCACAATAAAAATCGACAATAAATGTTAAGTATTTACTTTACATTTACTCTTTAATTGTACGTCCATAATGACGGACGGAGTGTTCGCTCGAATTCTGTCCATGACAATGCACGTTCGTCAGTAGGCAATGTTATTTTATAAAACTAACCGGAGGTGTCATGTGGCAGCCTTTTCATAATACGTACACATATAAATGGCAATAGTGCACTGTCATAACTCATATGTTGATAGCTACGGTATGTTCTTGTAGCTTCCTTCTTACCTCCTTTTTGATGCCACGGATAACTCGCTTCTTGAGTTTAAGATATAAATTCTATTGATCACAGCTTGTTGTATCTAACTGAGAAGAAATATTTATAAGATATTTATTTAAAAAAAAATACGTTAAATATTTATTTTCTTGAGTTTCAATATCGTAACATAGTTTTGATTTGAGTAAGTACTTACTTATTATTTGTACATAATTGACAAAAATATATAGGTACATAATTCCTCTCCAGGGAAAACAGACTTGAATTACACATCCAACAATCCGATTACTGAGAACCTAAATGGAGGGTTATAATTACTTCAAAGTTTCATATTCATTAAGAAAGAGAGGTCCAAATACGTTATAACACCGTTTCTTGATGAAGATAATCTTAATGTTAATATCTTACTTATTATCCCTAGAATAGTTCAAGTTCCTACGAATTAGGTGAAGTTCTACTTTACTTTGACGGATACATCTAGGGTTTTCGTATTATTTTATCTAAATTGAAGTAAAAATGCATCTTGATTTCTATGGCATGGATAAGAATAAAACTATCGTGGCGCGTTTATTAAGGACGGGTGCGATAGAACGGTCGCATATACATGAATATAATGTGAGTATACGGTTGTATATAGACCTTTAATGGCAGGCCAAGATATGTACAAGGTGGGAAGAGCAGGGCCGCTCGATAACACAAAGTTTAGGACGCATGCGCCAGGGCCTGGCCACCGACCTGAAACTGTTCTCCACGACCACGCTATACCCCGTAGCCCCGTAGGTATTTATCATACGTTCGCTACGGCTGCGCTCTCTATAGTCCACAAGTTATATTAGCATTATATACCAAGACTATATATTATTATATTCTGTCAGTAACTTGTTTCTTTAGCGCTCACAAATAATTGCAGTAGGGGTTTTTTTGAATACTCTATTTACCGTCCCAACTGGATTTTTTACTTTCAGGTCTTTCAACACATCAAAAAAGAAAATGTACATAATACAAAAGTCTCCTTGATATTTATGATTGTTCAGTTCTTTAATTCATACAAATAAATGTGTTCAGGGTTAAATTGTTCCATTCGGTACCGGTACCGGTACAAAGAGATCACAGCTAATAAGAATCTATTTTACAGGTTTAAATGGTTTGTCAGAGTATTATTATTAAAATAAAATCTTCACGCTTTTCATCGATGCAATTTTTATTAATATCACGCCGACTTACTGGGGGGTCTGACCACAGACAGAGATGTTAAAGTAACACCCCATTTTCACACAAAATCAATTCGTACAAAGGGATGACGTCCCTTACAATCGAGGAGGATGGACGATCCAATTTATATCTTATTGCAATGTAATATGAATTACAATACCTCAATTTCTGAATAAACAGCGGAGAATAGAGGTACTTCAACATATTATTTTTTATTTTTATAAGGAACAACAATAGAGGGTTTTATTGGCCTCTTTGTAGATCAGTGACTGTCACAAAGTGTTCAGTCATCGCCCTATCGGCTGTGTAAACATTCCAAATTAAAAATTTGGAGTAGAAGCATGCCGTCGGATAAAATAAATAAGGCAAAGGTCTGTTGGATGATAATGATGAACTTAATGCAGTAAGAACTTTGTATAAGTTCCTACAAATTGCTTACATTTCAGTAAAACACATGCACACTCCTGTGCATTTTTAGTCTACTCACGTCCTAACTTGGTCAAAAACTGAGATTGTATGTCTATCGATACATTTTCTTATAAGTAAACAAGAACGTATAACTAAAACCTTAAACTAAGTACTTGCAAGCTAGAACAGAAATAAGCGCCTAATAGTACAATTAAAAGCAGGTAAGCCAATTATACAATATAGCAAAAAGTCACACGAAACAGGATGAGCAAATATAATCTCTTCCCGTCACAACTAGAACCAAAAACTAAAGTCATTTGAACAAATAAAGCTTAATCCGTATTGTGAGGCGTCGCAATAACATGGAGACGTAGATTCGTAATGTTCACAATGGGAATTAGAAGTGTAGGCCA